AAGAGCAATGGCTCTCACTTCCTATTGAACTGATAGACCGCATAATTGAAAGCATCACACATCGCTGTTTGTGCTGTATTGCTTCTAGAGGCAATCATATTCCATATTAAAGGTACTTTTTCTATTGCAAACCGATACTTCCAATTTGTTTATTTTATACATGTGCTAATTTCTATACTACTATTAATGTCTGATAATTTCTTTTTATGTTGTTTAATACCTTACTATGTGTTGTATATTGTGGGTAAGTTTCATAAAATTCCATGTGTAATTTCTTGAGTTATCGCGATTTTTGTGAATTTTCCTTAATTTATGATAACCAGTGTATATATATACACACACACCTTAGGGATACCACAACAGGGAAAACCGAAAAATTCGTACCAGGAAATAACATCCTGAAATTAAAAGGGAAAAATTCAGAAATAAATTAAAATGGAGGCACTGACATACGTGGCAGCTATTTTTCTTCAAATATTCTTCCAGTTGTGACATGAGCAGCTTTGTGCTGCCGAAACTTGGATCTACGTATTTTATACTTTTTTTCTTTCAATTTTCGTTATTTATGCATCTGTGACTTAAATTGTATTGGTATGTATATGTAATTAAATTCTATGTAAAATCATTAGGTTAATTGTATGTTATAATTATTAATAAATTTCTTCGTTAACTAAATTCATATTTTTACTATGCGCAAATCCGTATCTAAAGATTTTCTAATATTTAATACAGAATTTTTTTAAATAAAAATTTTTTTTTCATTAAATGTTAATATTTTCTCTAAAAACAGTTAAAGGGTATACTACTCTGTGCAGTGGTGTACCGTACTAGTGACAGGACTGGCTCTCGCCAAGGACGTAAGCTAGAGACAAATCGCAATTATTGCTTGAGAATAATAGAAATTTCAAACTTGTCGGGAAAAAAAATCGATGTTATAAGAATCTAATAATCTTCAATATTTTTCATCCTTCCAATTGCTAGAAAGCCATCCTAGCAATTCCTGTTGGCTTCCAAAGCCGACAAGAAGTGCTTCAATTAGTTAATGAAGGTCCATCCCAACCTGTTAGTGCAAGAACATTGAGACGGGAGCTGCATACAATGAACAATTGGAGTCGAACATCTCGTAAGAGGCCATTGCTCACACAGGCTGCCGGAATATATGTTCTGACGAATCACGTTTTTTTTTTTTTTTTTCAAAAGACGCACGTCGCTGAGTGCAGCAAAGAACAGATGAAGCATTTCATCCTGACTGTGTGCAAGGTCAGGATCAAGCCGAAGGAGGGTCTGTCATGCTTTGAGGGCGTTTTTCTTATTATGGATTGAGCTCCCTCTCTGAGTTCGTCACTACACGAACTAACATTTTATTTGAACATTCTGGATGATAAGATGTTGCCTGTCAGTCAACATTCTCATGAAAAGTGTGTTGTCGATATCCCTACTTTTCGAAATGACAACGGCAAAGTTCATCGGGCTGGAAGAATATGTGACTAGTTTTATGAACACCCAGACACTCAATTACATCTCGACTGGCCTGCAAAATCACCTGACTTCAACACAATTGAAAATTTGTTAGACAATAAGTTGAATCGACGGGTAAAACTCCGAAATCATCATTCTCGCAATTCCGTTGATTTGCACGATCAAATCCTCAGCGACTAGCTTAAACTGGATTCGACGTACCAACAAAACCTTGTGTACTTACTTTCTGACCTAATCCAGGTGGTTATCGAATCCAGAGGCGGTGTTACATGCTATTAAATGATGTTTTTCATGATTTCCCTTAGGGTTACTAATTTTTTGTTCGGTGTGCTTATAATGAGAATATGTTCATTTTAAATAAAACAATAAAATGATCTTAAATTTTTTTTTTCGCAGTTTAAAATATTGGCGATTGAAATGGGCTGCAGGTGGTGTAGAGCAGAACTCTCTATCAATGGCAATACATCGCATGCTTTCCCCATTAGAATGTGGAGAGTCATAGAAGAAGGAAATACGTTAGTTTCTCTCTTAATTTTCATTAGATTAAAATATTTTAAGTTGGGAAACTATATGGAACTGAAAACAACGTTAAACATACTTCTAAAAGAAAGCGTCATTGAAATTTTTAACAATTAAATACGAAAATTATTAAGAAAAGGAAAAATATCGTAGTGCATTCCTATACAACTGGAAAGAGGAAGATAAGGAAGGGGAAGGGCCAAAGGCGTATTCGAGCGTTGCAATCGCCAATATATTTTTTTCTTTTCTTATGGACGAGTAAAAAACATCGATGTAAAGCTAAGTTACTTGATATTTTTTTATGAAAGCAAGTCGGTACACGCGGAGGATGAGTTTTCAATTTGACAGGTTTGAATTATAGGTGATCGCAACACTCGGATACGCCATCTAGGGGAAAGACCGATTCCATGCCTTTAGCCCTTCCCTTTCCCTATCTTCCTCATTTCAGTTGTATAGGAATGCACTTCGATATTTTTCCTTATCTTATTTTTTTTCGTATTTAATTCTTGAAAATTTCCCTGGCGCTTTCTTTTAGAAGTATGTTTAATGTAGTTTTCAGTTCCATATAGTTTTCTAATTTAAAATATTTTAATGAATATGAAAATCAAGGCAGAAACTAACGTACTTCCTTCTTCTATGACTCTCCATACGCTAATGGTGAAAGCATGCGAAGTGTTGCCATAGGTAAAGAGTTCTGCCTGTAGCCCATTTTGTTCGCCAATCTCTATCACGGAGTCCTAGGTGCTCGATTCTCAGTGCTGATTTGATTTGTTCATTTACGTCGCACTAGAGCTGAACAATGGGCTATTGGCGACGGTCTGGGAAACATCCCTAAGGATGATCCGAAGACATGCCATCACAATTTTGATCCTCCGCAGAGGGGATGGCACCCCCGCTTCGGTAGCCCGATGACCTGCACGCGAAGTTGAGCACTTTACGGTAGAACAGTTTAGCGAGGATCTATACCGCACACCCTCGGTCCCTACGCAAACTGATCCAAGTGGTCATCCACCCGCACACTGACCGCAGCCAGTGATGCTTGACTTCGATGATCTGCTGGGAATCGTGTCTTAACTATCAGTCCACCGCGGGACTTCTCAGTGTTGAACTTCCGAAAGCGAGCATTCGAGTTTAGCAAAATAGGCTACTAAAAGCGTTTTTATTCCATCAATTTCAGAGATGTCAAGCTTACTTTTAAAGCTTTCCTATCAGGAATGTTTATTTTTAGACTCGTTTCCATGGATGTTGAAGCGGCACTCCAGTCTCCATGCTCATTTCATTTTGCAAAATTTACATATAACTTAGTACTAGAGGTGTAACTAACTGTTATTAGTTATAAAAAATAAAGACTATTAATATGAATCATTTTTTAATCTAGAAGTAAATTCTGTCTTAAATTTATTTTAGTGAACTGAAGAGTTTTCCTTAAATACTTAAAGTAAATTTTAAAAGTGTTTTTGAATCTTTGTTCTATTACTAGTATAGTTTCCGTGTCATAAAAAGGACTCAATATGGAAATATATCCCCGAAATAATTAGACAACACAGGATCAAACATAAAGTAAATAATAATAAGTAAAAAAAACCTTGATTAGTTGAAATAAAAATTATAAAAAATAAGACGTTCTAAAACTTTTTCTAGCTAATTCCCATTATGAATTATTATGCATCACAAAATTAATATTTGATGATCTGGATCATTTCGAGTTTAAAGAGTATTATAATCAAACAGTCCCTAAATTCTCATTCTGAACTGTTTTTAACATTGTAATTTGGGTTCTTTCTTCTTCTTTTTTTTAAAGTGTGGGTATGTTTAGCTTGGTAAATTTTAAAATCTTATTGGAAAAATATTCAATTTCTATATTGTGATGAGGATTTCAAGAATGAATAGTTACTAAGATGTCAAATCTGATTTTCACCAAATTTCTGTAATTCTTTTACTTTTGGTACCATCCATTTAAATTTGATGCTTATGTTTTGGGGTTATAATCTATTTTGAGGCATTAATCTGTTAAAAAAAGTGTGTATGTAGAAGAAAAGCATGTTTTGTTTGTTAATTAATTGACACAAATAATTTATCATATCATAGAAATTATCTTCAATTCATGAAGATTACATCTTTCCTCTGTCATTGAGTTTTATTAATACTATTTTTATTCTGCTCTACATTACTTTTTTACATAAAATTTTTTTTTTTTAGATGGCTGATTTTGAAGGCAACGCTTCACCACCTTCAGATAGTTATGATTTTGATGCTAGTAGAGTTGAAAAACGAACAATATATCTTACAGCTCTTGGTACACCCTGCCAGTATCTAAACATACTTGCTGAAATTGATAAGGTTAGCTTTCATGTTATTTTTATTATAATTTAAACCTATGTGTTGCTGCTTAAGTGTAGAAATCAGTTATTCTACAGAGATTATTTAGATGTGCAGATTTTCTAAGGTGATCCATAAATTGCGAAAAAATTGTTTCATTTCTCATTAAATAACCTGGGTAATTTCCAAAATACATAGAGAATTTGCAAATTACAAACTAGGCACTCTTTAAAGTAAGAATAAAATATTTTTTTTTTTTTTGGAACAACAGCACCATTTTATTACATTTAAATTTACATAATGTTGTTTATTTTTACTATCAAAAAGGAATCAAGTTACTACAATCAAATCACTGACAAATATTTTTTATAGAATCAATCACTTTAAGAACAATAATTAAAAAAAAATAATCAAAAGGCTTGAAATCTTATTCTAACTAGCTGAATACCTGTGCTTTATGGGGTGAATAAGAAAAGAAAATAGTAAAAGAATCAGTGTTGAGAAACTCTACAAAATTTTGCAGAAAACTGAAAGGCATATGTCTAAACAATAAATAAAGCTAAAGTAATTTCAATTATTTGTTTATTTATTATTAAATCCTTCACGGTGGATTAATGTCATTAGATTAAGGAAAATACAGCTTTTTTCCCGTTCATTCTATCAAAATAAATACTACTCTGTATAAATATTACTCTTTACCTATTTCCAAAACAAAAAAAATTTTTTCATTTTTTTTAATATTTGTAATCTGCTACAAAATCTGATGCCTAAGAAAGCTTTTGTATAAAAAAACAGTTTGTGTTTTGGCTAATTTGTCTTTAAGTTAAAGACCCTGTTTTTTGGCTAATTTGTCTTTAAGTTAAAGACCCATTATATGGATAAAAAGGTCTTGTTATTATTGTTATTTAGGAAATTAAAGGATTGTTATTATTGTTTTTATGATATGTGCTATGTATTTTTGTACTAATATACATAAAAATAAAAAAAAGATTTAAAGCTTACTAGCTCTTGGTGGATTTGAATTTCATTACAGATACCAAATAATGCTTTTCCTATTTTTAAAATGTTGAAATTTTCATGTCCTTTGTAAATATTTGTGTATTAATGTACTAATTAAAATTTTTTTAGTATGCCTTTGTGACTCCATCTGATTCCGAAGAAACAGAACTGAGTTCTGATGAAAGTTTGTAATTTTAATATATATTTAACTGATTTTCTTTTTCTATTTTTTTTTTGTTTTAAATACTGTATTGTGTAATTATCATTCTAGTTTTGAGGTTTACCTTTTTGGCTTAAATGCCTTTATTTAAAAACTTTTTTTTTAATGCCACATCCGACTTTTTGTCATATTAAAAAGTATAAAAAGAAGAAAAAATTATTTTTAATAGGCTAATTATGATATTTTTTATGCAAATATCACCTTTTTTTCCATACAAGTAAGTAGTGATTGTTTAAATAATAATAATAAAAAAAAATGTATGTAAAAGTAATATTAAATGACAATGATATTATTAAATAATTATATAATAAGTAACATTATTGAAAAATTTAAATTAATGTATAATAGGTATTATTAAAAAGATAGCTTAAAAACATAAATTGTAAAAATCATCTTTATATTTTTTTTTCGTTGTCTGGTTATAGAATTACCAGTGAGAAATCTTCTTTACAGCATTCAAAGAATTTCTTTTGTATCTTAAATTTTTTTTATTTAATTGATTTCAAATTTATAACAAATGAAATAAATAAAAATTATAACAAAAATAATATAATTTTACCACTTAAGTTCAAATTTTTCCTAGCAGCTGTGTTTCTTCTGAAAATAATAATGATTATAATGAACTCTAATAAAGTAGTGATCTTATCATTTATTGCATATACTATTGAATGCAATATATAATATTTTGATTTTCAATCCAAAATCAAATTGATTATGGAAATTTTGCTTCAAATTTGTACAAGTTGTTACAATTGTACTTCGGAACAGATTTCCAGTACAATATTGTATAGTCAATGTTCTATATTGTACTGGAAATATGTTTTTCAATTGTATTTGTTTCAAAATATGTTGATGTTTACTGTAATATTTATTATATTATTCTACTATATACTTAATCACCAATTGCTATTTCTTTTAGAAGTGTTGTGGTTATTTTAATTACAGTACAGGACCCGTTATCCGGAAATCAGAAAACCGGAAAACCAAAAAACCGGAATGAAATTCGATAAATTTTCCCGCCATTCAAAAAAAAATGTTTTTTTCCTCATAAGATTTTAGGATTTTTCTTTCTTTTTTGAAAGATGTTTACCTTACCATCATTTTGGAAATGATCATTAGTGTATTACTTCATCGTTTTTTCTTTTTTTAAAGATTATTTCTAAATTTTTTTTTTTTTTAGTTGGGTTTAACAATAAAAAAAAAAGGCTTTTTGTAGCGATTCAGAAAACCGGAAAAATCAGTTATCCGGAATAGTGATGGTCCCGATCGTTCCGGATAATCGGTTCCCTACTGTATTAAAAAATATTATGGTACTTGTCCTTTTTGGGAGCTGTAAAAAACCTTTCACCGCAGTACCTAAATCACATATCTATGTTAGTCGATTGTATTGACTGTTCTGCAGGAAATCATTTCATATTTGCAGATGTCTTACAGATGTTGTCACATGTAAGCAACTATCTTAAATTAAATTATTACTATTTTTTTAATATGATGATTAATTTTCTTTAAAAAGTTGAAACTTCGAAAAAAAAAAGTACTTTTGTTAGTTATCCTAGATTCATAAACATGCATAAGTGATACACTGTTCATAAACATTCATCTAACAATCTAGGAAAGTACTTAACAAGTGTTTACATCTTTTGATTTCTGTGGGACGAATGTTTATGAAATTTGGGTTAAATTAAATACTGAATCATGTATAAATTCCCAAATAATGAAATCAAAATTATGAACAAACTGAAAAAACAATTTATGTTGAAAATTCTAGTTGGATTAGTTCTGTTAAGTACATCACAGTTTTACAAATTTTTTGCTTTAAAAAGTACATTAAGTATCTATTACCACAGTAGCTATTACCAGTAGTGCTTATTAGCCCCTATGAATTGAGCACAACTGGCACAAATAATAATTTGGCGAGTTTTTACGTACCCCCAAACGTATAAGTACCATTTTTTTGTAAAAGCTTTAAGAGGGTCCATTTTATACTTGTTAAACTTGATTTTTTTTCCCTCATAGGTATTTCTTCTAAAGCTTCTTCACAGCAAAGCGTTATAATTCTTCCCATATCCACTAGTGTTAAAAAAATCAAAGAAGAGAAATTGTCTGACACTGAAGACTCTTCAAAATCAAAGAGTAATAAATTAAAGATTACCAAACAAAGCCCTCCAAAATCAAAGAAGTGGCCTGTAGTAGATTACTCTGACTCTGATTCAGGCGAGGATAAGGAAGATTTACGTCACAAAAAACCTGATGATTATCGATCTAAAGGCCAGGGTAAGAAAAATGTTACTGATTCTCCGGAAGATCGATCTAAATCTAGTCGTAAGAAGTATTCAAAAAGTCCCGATGAAGATCGATTCAGACGTCATCGTAAGAAGTATTCAGCCAGTCCGGATGAAGGTCGATACAAACATCGTCGAAAGAAGTATTCAGATAGTTCTGATGAAGGTCGATCCAAACATCGTCGTAAGAAACATTCAGATAGTTCTGATGAAGGTCGATCACCAAATTATCGCAAAAAGTTTTTACCTGTGAAAAAGGAAGAAGAATATAAGTATAACCCTGGAATTACAACAGCATTTGGTCAGTTTCATTGCAAAGTAAGAAGAATTTCTCACTCTTTTGAACAAGTTTAAGAGAACAGGGTGCGTAGCATTTTTAAAAAGTGCTTATTTTTGATTTACGTTTTTTAAAAGCCCTTAAATGTGCTTTTTTTATTTGGTGCTTGTAAAAAGTGCTGAATTTTTTATCTTTTAAAAGAGATTTTTTCTTTGCCGTATCGATTGTCGTTCTAAATTATAAAGCGCTTAAAGGTGCTTATTTTTGATGTACGTTTTTTAAAAGCCCTTAAAGGTGCTTTTTTATTTGGTGCTTGTAAAAAGTGCTTAATTTTTTATCTTTTAGGAAGAGATTTTTTCTTTGCCATATCAATTGTCGTTATAAATTACAAAAAATTCATGATTTTTTCTGCAATATTTATCAGAGACTAGTTATTTTATCATGATTATGTAAAGTTTTTGAAAATATTTTTGAATTTTATTGATTTTATGTTTATAAATTAAGAACTTTAAAAGGATAGACAAAAATAATTTTTGTTACTACACAGATCCTAATTATGATTTTTTTTTTTGGAAAGTGATTAAAAATATTTTTTGAGTGCTTAAAAAGTACTTAAAAGGTGCTTATTTTTTGATGAAAAAATCTGGCTATGCACCTTGGAGAATCATTAGAATTGCTATCACTATAATTATTGTGAAATGCAGCACTTTCAGATATTTCAAATATGTATAAAAACTCTTCACACCCTAGGTTCCCAATATGATTGTTATTTCCCCTCTCCCAATGAGTTATGAAGACATGTAAGGGGGTGCCAAGAAAACTATTTATTTCTAGAGAGTTCTAACAAACATTAAATTATTAAATATGCTTCTTGGTGTATAAGTCGACCTGTTATTTAAGTCAATCCCTAATTTTTTATTACATGTTAGCAAATTTCTGGTGTATCAAGTGTATAAGTCTACTGCTGTCTGTAAGTCTATTTTTGTTTTAGCCATCATGAGGCAAATGATACTATAAGCGGGGCAAAATGCAGATTCAAATGATATTGTAAAATATTTTTAAAAATGTGGAATTTGAGTTCTTTGAAGGGGGAAAATGATTTTTTTTTGAGACTGTAAATAAAAATAACTATTTTTTGGGGGGGGGGGCAGAAATACCTTTTTAACCCTGACAAAAAAAATTCTGCAATACCCGCTTCATGATTTTAATGCTGAGCTGTACCACTGTGCCATGATTTTATGTGCAATGATTTTAGTTGAAATTTTTCTTTTGTTCTTGTGGCTCCTCAGAATTTTATTTAAGAGACTGTTATTCTTTAATTTAATTAAACGTGCAATTTTTTTTTTAAAGAAAAGTCAGAAACTTTTCATTTGAGAACTTTAAAGTATTTAATTTTTTCCTTACCTTTTTCCCCCTTTTAACTCAAAGATATAATAATTCAAAGATATATTAATAAGTGCTAGTGACCATGGATATCCTATTGTTAACTTATTAAACATAACTCTCTGATTAGATTTTGAAATATGTTTCTTCACTTTTGTTAGGTTGTTTAGATTCATAAATGATATTGCCTATTTCCTACTTTTTATACTGTACAAGAAATCAAGTTATACTGTATAAGAAATCTATTTTATCAAGTACTTGATTTAAACTGAAAAATGATATGAAGAATTTATTTTTATGCAGATATTTACAACTTTTACAAATGAGCTATTTGCATCAAAATTAGTATAAAAAATGTTTCTAGCAGTCATTATGCATATTTTAAACAACTTCCAGAAGCAAATGAAAATTAAAATGGAACAAAAACTTTTTTCTCGTAATTTTTTTATTATCGTTTTTTAAAAATTTTCTTATAAGGTAGTATTGAAAATTTTTGACCTGAAAATGTAAGCATTGATTTAGAAAAGGGTTGGGAACATGTGGTCTACTCTTATACAGATTTTTAAGTCTCACTTTTTAACATTTCATGAGCAAATTTTTTAATTTCTTATGTATTTTCTAGTCCGATCGTAAAAAATATCTCTTTTCACTCTATTTCTTCTGTTTCTTTTCTTATTTCAAACTTGCGACAGTATGACCACGAAAATCTGGCCTGCTCGGAGGTTTATTAAGTCCAGATGTTGTAAAATTCTGGATGTTAGGTTAATTAAAAGAGAAGTCAAAGTTACATGCCCAAAATTATAAAGAAATAGGCGTGACACACCCACATGTTCATTTGATCTTTTTTTCAGCAATTATTTTGTAAATTTTGCCATGGCTTTTTAAAATTTTGATATTTTAATACATGACTATGACCCCTTGAATATTGATATACTCTCTTAAGTAATCTTATTCATTTTTTTTTAAGTTCTCGAATTTTGAAGATTTTTTAGTAAATTTATTAGCTTTGTTAATCGTTTTTTCCCAGCAATTTTTACACAGCATTTCTAGGTTGTTTTTAAAACATGAGTGTTTTTAAAAGAATACACAAAAATTCTGAATTATCTGTTTAAATAACTGCTATTTGACTTGTTTGATTTCGCCCTAAATTTGCGTAGTTTTTTTGTTATTTATTTAGCTTTACTATTATGGATCTCCATTTTGTTTTTAAAATCCAAATATTCATAAAACATAACCACAGCATGTGTATTTTGAATCACACATTTGAATTTCTTCTCGACGAGGCACTACATTTGTGAAGATTTCACAATAAGTTTATGTTGTCATATTTTGCCGGAAATCACTTTGAACTTTTTTAAATCCCAATGTTTTTAATAATACAGTAGTATTACAATAATTACATTGGGTTGTCATGCTCAATTAGGACGATTTCATCATAAATTCATGCAGGTTTGTTCATTGCTTTTTCAAGAGTTACAATAATAAGAGAATACAGTTTTTCAGATCTTCAAAGTCAAAATTTTTTTAATGCAGTGTTATTATTTTAATGCAGTGTTATTATTTTAATGCAGTGTTATTGTTTAATGTAGTCAAAAATTTTTAATGCAGTGTTATATAAATTTCTGCTTCATAACTCTAATTTTAAATCAAAGTTTCACAAGTTGAAAAAAAGTCTGGATTTTGGAGGTTCTGCTGTAATTTTATAATTTCACAAAGAAAATGAATTTCCTATTAACTTGATATTTTAGTGATGATAAAAATACTTTTCTTCAACAAATTTCCTCATCTGTTTCCGTTGCTAATTTTATGGTATTGTGAGGAAATATGAATTTCTTAGGAACTTGATATTTTCATAATAGAAAATAAACGCTTTGCACTAAATTTCTTCTCTTTTTCCTCATTTCAAAATTGCTAATATCGTGACAGTTTGGAGAAATAGAAATTTCTTATGAGCTAGCCTATGAAACTTGTCTATGAATATCTTCCATGAAAAAACCACTTTTCAATAAATTTCTTCCCTCTTTCTTTTTCTCATTAAACTCTTTTCTCTAACTTTCCTTTCTTAACTTCAGATTTTTCAAAAACGTGTATTTATACCTATTAAAAGATATCATGTATAAAGTAGATATTTAAGAAACCAATTGAATATCTTTGAATTTTACTTGAATATCACCGCCCCCTATTTAGTTATATTCTATTATAATTCGAACTTTATACATATTAGTTTATACATTTAGTTCAATAGCTAATTCTCATAACTGCTTTCATTAATTAATATTGTAAAAATAAAATGAAGCATGCTTGTTGTGAGCCATGATTTAACAAGATCCGAAATGTGTGTTAGTGATAAAAAGCTAAATAAGTGTAGGTATTAGTGTTAAAAAGCTATAAAACAATATTGTTTAACACTTCGGTTTAACAAGGAGTTTTTTTTTATAAGTTTCTGTTCTGGAAAATTATTTTATTGAAATTATGAAAAAAATCATACTGAAATTTTTTTCTTTTTGAAAGTGTGTAAAAATTATCATTGCTTATATTGTTCAGAAATTGTAGATGAGCAATAAATAGTAATACCTTATCCCTTTTCTGTCTTGTCCTGAATTTCTATTATATTATATTAGCATATTAGGACAAAATATTAAATGCAAGTATGGTTTGTTAAACAATCGCCCAAAATAAGTATCAAATTAATTTATAATCAAAGTTCACGCTCTTTCAACTCAAAGATTTTATTTTTATAATCGATATTGAACAGGCACCCAATTCTGAGTTTAACAAACTAATAAAATATTTTGCATTACAGGTTTGCGACATCATTGTCAACAGCGAAACAACTTACCAAACTCATCTGCAAGGAAAAAGACATCAAAAGGTAAAAGTTTACTTTTTAATAATTTTTAAATTACTGATTCATCTACCTTAATTTGCTTTTAAATATTTATAGCATCAAATACAAGTTATAGAACATAAAACTTGTTCTTTAGAAAAAAATTAATTTCTCGTATATTTATTAGCTAGAAATATCAAATATGTTATTTATATTTGTTTATAATGCACTATTTCCCCCCAAAAAAACACATTTTAGCTTGGTACCTATATGTATTTTAACAATATTCAATAACACCTTACAGGGAAGAACACCTATATGTATTTTAACAATATTCAATAACACCTTACAGGGAAGAACACCTCTATGTATTTTAACATTATTCAATAACACCTTACAGGGAAGAACACCTATTTGTATTTTAACATTATTCAGTAACACCTTACAGGGAAGAACACCTATATGTATTTTAACATTATTCAATAACACCTTACAAGAAGAAAAACAATGGAAATGACTTAAAAAATTGTCAGAATTGTTACAGAATGTTGTAAATATTTCCCTCGAACAACATATACCTGGCTAACAGTCCATTAAAATAGTTTCAGCTTTTTTTATATTTGACCAATCACATTTTTCCTTAAATATTTTCAACATTTACATGAATTGAATAAGTTCTGTCAGTAAAGTAAAAAGACAAAAAATGAAGAGCAGAATGTTATAATAAATAGGTCATGAATTGTTTACCTGGGGCTTAGTAGTCCATTGTTATTGTTGTATTACCATTGTTTTCATTCCTATCTCTTTCAAATTAGAACTTCTATCAATATTTTTAATTTAATTTAAAATAATTTTGCTAAATAATGTATTTTGATTTGAGTTTAATTATATATTTTTCCTACATAGAATCTGAAAGCTAAGACTGTACCGGAAGTGGTAAGGAAATCTATGAATGAGGTTTGTTGGATTTAAATACTTTGTATTTTTAATGAATTTTATTATTTATCTATTACTACAATTTTTATGAAAAGTTTAATATTTTAATTTGGGAACAAAAAATTTATAATGATAATGACCACTCACTGTGGTCATTACTTTTAAAATACTTAGTTCAAGACACTTGTTTTAAACATGTTTAAAACATTGAATAGAAAAATCATAATTTTATTTTTTATTACTTTATACCTATGCTTGTCAAATTCCAAAAATTAAGAGAGATGCATCTAAGTAAAAAAAAATTTTTTTTGTGCCGTAATAATATGTTTCAATTGTTTTTTTTTTCTGCTTTTGGCAACAAATAGGACTGATAATTCCCAAAAGAATGATCCCATCATTTTGTTATAAGATCTGTTGTCTATGAATTAAAAGAAAATTGAACTTCTATTAAATTCTAATTATGAAATTAAATACAAATTTGAATTGCTTTATTTTATTTATTTATTTTTATTTAGTTAATTTATTAAAGTGAATATCATTTAAAAATATTCTTCTTATTTTTTCTTCTGAAAATCCTTTTATTGATAAATAATGTTGATCATTTTAACCTATCATAATAATTTAGTTTAAATATAGAAAATTTTTTTTTAGTTATTTATATTTTTGCGTGCTTCTGCCATAAAATATTTTGAAACTTCCTGTTTTGAAAAATTGTTACTATTTCAGCCAAGGATACCACCTCAAATTCCACATCGACCTCTACCTCCTCCTATTAATCGTAAGTTTTTATATTTTTATTTCCTCTTATCCAAATGTATACATAGTATTAAAAAATTCATTTTTCGCTTCTTAAAAGATACCATATGTCAGTATAACTTACTAATGTTTGTCCATATATTTAGAAATCTTTCTTTTTATTTGTATTTCAAAATTTGAGAAATTAAAAATTTGAATTGCACTTCAAGGAAAAATTATAATGAAACTTACTTATTCAGATTATCAAATTATTTATTTTATTTACATCTTTTCATAGTGAACTACTGATTATCTTCAAGGTCGATAACAAATTCTGACACTTACAATACTTAGTATTGTGATCATAGCATAAGAGATTCTGTAAAATGATATTCTGTCTGCGCAAGATTCTGCTCATGCTAGTTTATCTCTTTGAAATTCTGTCCCATTGGAGTATTTTGCCTTCTTATCTTAAAATATTTTATAATTTAATTGTCTTAAATTATATGGTCTGCAATAAATTCTGTTCACTGGTTAAATTCTGACCCATGTTTTATTTCCTGTCGCAATATTTTTCCACTTAGGGAGTCTTCACTTCATAATAATCTGCCTTTAAAATTCAGTCCCATGATATTTTGCCTGCATAAGATTATGTCTTATTCTTGTGAAATCAGATAAATTTTCTCTCCTTATATTTTGTGTGTGTGAGATTTTATCTTATGATATTTATCTCTGTAAAATTTTGTCTCATAAGATTTTGTATGCATAATATTCTGTCTTGAGATATTTGGTATTTGTTAAATTCTACAGAATATTTCGTCTTTTTCTTGGGCACTACAGCCTATGACAGGCGGTAGTCCCAATAAGTTTTTGCCATCATGAGCAGATAATATTTAATATGTGCAAATTTTCCTCTCTCAGTTAAATTACATCTGATAGGATTCTGTTTTCTGATTCTTAGACTGGGTATATAATTTTTTTTTTTTTACTTTTCGGATATATTCAATGATCAATTATTGGTTTCCAATGACAGAACATTGTTAAAACATTGTTTTGCACTGTTTGAAAACCTGTTTTAATACTTTTAAAAACATATATGTACAGGATTTTTCCATATTGTAGATTATCTGTACAGTTTGCTTATTTTTAGTTGTTCTACTTTTTAATTATTTAATGAACAATTGGAAATTTCCTTTAACACTTACGTGTTGGTTATATTTATATTGTGTGTATAGGGGGAGATATTAAGGCATAAATCTTTGACACACTAATAAGTTAGGTTTCAGAAACTCCTTAGCAATATGCTTGTTGTATTGGCTAATTTAAATAATATGTAATGTGCACAAAATAAGAAAAGAAAAAAAACAATAACCTTTAACTTTTGCACTAATGATTTGATTTTCATGCAATAACAATTTAGATTCTTGATGTTCATAATATGGGGTAGGTGATATCTGAAAAATATTATAAATAAAATTTTAAAGAAGTTGTACTTTGAAAATTTTACTTCTCAAGAATTATTCATTCTCCAATTCTGTCCGAGTTATTGAATTTAGCATTTAAGATTGCATAGTTTAAAATCTGTATATCTTACTATTCAATTTCTTTTAACAATTATAAACTGAATAATAGAAATTAAAATAATTATAGAAAAAAATATTTTTTCTCTATAGAATTATTTTTGAATAAAAAACTTTATAGTTTTGTGCTAAAAATTTCGGAAATATGACCAAAAAAAAAGAAGAAAAAAAAAACACTAACAGACAAAGAAGATCAGAAGAGGACCAAGTTTTCAACCTCTTTCTTTGCTAAACTTTTGGAATCATATTTTCCAGAATATCCCTTCCTCCAACCTATATTTTGAGGATCAAAAATTCTAATTTTTAAATTTTTTTATGTTTGAATTCATAACTTAAAATATCTGTCATTCTTAATAATAATGCAGCGGGACATATATTCAATAATGCATAATTATATTTAAAGTTAACTCAATGAACAATTAAAAACAGTTGGTAAGTTAATTTTTATTTTGCATTCTATCAAATCTATGATCAATCTTTCATGAGTTTTCTCTCTCTCTAGCAGGATAAATAATCATTAAAAAAGAATTTTTTAGACATATATAAAAATTTATTCCTTAATTATAATATTTTTTATGTAGTATTAGATTAACATAATTAGTTTAAAGTACTTAGCATTTATCTTTTCCCTTGTAATTTTTTTGTAATACTTTCCTTGATTTTTTTTCGTAGCCCCTAAAAAACCAAAGCATGTAACTTTAAAGGAGGACTCCCTAATACAGCAGATTGCTGAAGATTACAAAGATGGTCCACTTCCAGGTAAATTTTTTTTTATATGCTTGTATGTTTCATGAACAGACAATATACTTTAAAATCTAAATTATGTTATTAAATTTTGAACTATAGATTTTATCAATGTAAGATATTTTATATTTTATTGAGTCTTTATAATTGAACATTGATTATGTTTTTTATAAATTTATTTTTAATTTCTGTCTAAAAGCACGGTTTTTACATGCTTTTTATGGCATGTTCTATCTTTTTATTTAATTTTTGTTAAACATGTGGTTATTTCCGTGGGTTGACAGATTCAAATTTGAAGATCAATGAAGTTATTTGTCAAAAATAACATTTAGTTTTTTTGTCTTTTTATGAATTTTTTATGAAATTCACCTTTTATGGTATTTCCTGATGTGTCAATGAAACAGAGTCGGGCCTAAACTTATTTACAGATATAAATTTTTTTGTGAATTCCTTGAATTAATTTTATGACTAAGAGTAAGTACATAAGGAGGAAATAAGCTTTAAAGTTTTTAAACGTTGACAATGGGAACGGAAGATTATCCCTCACCTTTATTTTTTCTCTGCAAATTCTTAATTCAGAAAACCTATTGATACCTAACACTCATTTAAACTGTTCGTATTCTTTTTGTTTTAATTTGCTGCTGAAAGATATGTTTTCTGAAGTTACTTATCAACTGATTTCTGTCTAATTCACTAGGCACCTTTTCCCACTCCAAAAAGCTAGAGGTTTTCTGAGGTTACTCATCAACTGATTCCTGTCTAATTTACTAGGCACCTTTTCCCACTCCAAAAAGCTACGTGTTTTCTGAGGTTACTTATCAACTGATTTCTGTCTTAATTCACTAGGCATCTTTTCCCACTCCAAAAAGCTAGAGACCTCTTTTCTCCTTTGAACCTTTTGGACCTAACTTTAAACTATCCAGAGTTTCAATGAGCAAATCTTTGCAACTTTGATTCCCTTGAACTTATATTCGGCTGTAATTACACAAAAGAGAAAACACAATATTCTTCATTTAGAATTAGCAATGCCGCAATACAAGGTATATCTTCAAATAACCAGAGTCAAACCAGAGACAAAGAATCGTTAAAGCTCACTGACTCACTCAGTATTAAAAAATATGCATTTACCATTATGAATAGCAATATCTGAATGTTTTCAAAAATTAAAGATTGTTAAATATTTTTTTAAACTTAAAAACACATTGAATTGAAAATTAATGGGATTGTCTCTTTCATTATATATAGATATATACCCCATATATCTAGGTGTCTAAGTCGACATCCTATTTTTGATGATGATTATGAGATAACAAACTTCTGGTATGTCTGGTTTCAGAAATCGTCTTAGCCTGAATGTGGCTGATTAAAGAAGAAAAGACTTTTACGAAAACATTTCCTCTTCTACAGACGTCATGTGTTAAATGATACTAAACATTGTGTAAAATGTGGATTTAAATTTAAATGTTTTTTGCATTATAACTCAAGCATTCAGATCATTTAAAGGTGTGCAGGACTTTTAAAAAGCGGATGTGAAGACTATTTTTTTATTTTTCGTGGAACTCAGCAAGGGCGGAAGAAGTAGATCCGACTTATCTATCTATCTATCTATCTATCTATCTATCTATCTATCTATCTATCTATCTATCTATATATCTATCTATATATCTATCTATATATCTATATATATATATATATATATTACAAGACATTGCTTAAGAAAAAACTAATAAATAACTATAAAGACTTATTATTAAAAAAGAGTTTTACAAGCTAGCAATATGCTAAACATCTCTCTTTTTTTTTACTTTTATTCTTATTATAAACTGTTTAACAAATTCTAATTTGGGACTATACTTTAAAATTCAAATTAATTTTCATTTCTAGGTTTAGATGATGTTGTTGAAGTTCGGCCACCTATTGAGGGAGTGAGAGATATTTCATATCTTTGTAAGATATGTGAAGCGCAGTGTGTCCCAAACTCAATAATGAAACACTTAACAGGATTTAAACATTACTTACGATGCCTGGTATGAAATGCACAGTTAATATTTGTGACCTACGTTTTCTTAACCTAATATATACCCTAATCTATACCTAACCTTATATTTATCTGATTAATTCTAGCATAGGCCTTTTTAATCGTTGCAATGGTACAGTGCTTGCAACATTGATTTGACTTATTTTGACTTTTTTTTTTTAATTTAAAAAAATTACATATGCAATACAGCTTATTAGGCATTGGTTGATTTTTAAAATTTTTACTGTTGTATTTGTTGAAAAGTGATCATAAAACTAGTTAGTAGGTGTTCTATTTTACCTGTTTAGTTTATATAGTTATTTTCTGTACAGGGTCTCAATTTTTTCTCTCTATTAGGATCTGTCCAAGTATTATGTAAGCATAGCTCGCTAGCTATCCATGTAAGCTCGGCTAAGTTTCATTTTAAAAATTATTATTTTTACTATTTATAGGAGATTTTATTCTGATTGAACTGCAGTAGACTGATCTTTAAGACACGGTCAGGGTTGCCACTCCACAGGGAGAACAGGGAAAACCTGGAAAATGCAGGGAATTTAAAAATTACCTAAAATAACAGGGAAAATGCAGGGAATTTTGATTTTTTCATTTCAAACTGGGAAAATACAGGGAATTTTGTTCCTTCTTTTTGTCCTTTAAAAAATGGTGACCACTCAAAGTATAATCTATGGGATATTTAACTATGATATTTCAGCTATACTAAACTATTTAATTTACTATGGCATTACTTAAGTATGTTCAGCTGTTTTTCCAGCAATTAAAACTAATAAATATAGTTAGCCCAATATAGCTCACACGAGAGCACAGTAATTGTTGTTTCCTCTTAATATATTGTGTTTAATATGTACAGGGAAAACACAGGGAATTTTTTCCCCCAGACTTTAGTGGCAACCCTGACGGTTCCCAGCAGATCACCGAAGTCAAGCATCACTGGCTGCGGTCAGTTTGCGGGTGGGTGACCACTTGGATCAGACTGCTTAGGGACCGAGGGTGTGCGATATTGGTCCTCGTTAAACTGTTCTACTGTAAAGTGCTCAGCTTCGCGTGCAGGTCGTCAGGCTACAGAAGCAGGGGTGCCACTCCCTCTCAGTGTTTTCACTATAGCGCGAGAACGAGAGAATCTCGCATATTTCTTGCGAGATTCTTGCATTAAAAAATGATTATCACGAGAAATTCGCTCATTCTGTAAATAAATGTCAAAATTCGCAAATTTCTCGCATTTTGGAAAAAGCTTCAAATTACGCCATTTCGAATAAAATCCGTTTCACTTTTCTTCCTGGATCTTTCATTATTTTCAACATCTGCCCCGTTATCTAGCTTCCCTATTTACCAGTGTTGTTCAGAGCCTTTTTGAACAACAGAACACAACCACTTAACCCCTTTCAGAACACATTTCTCTGCAACCACGTGTTTAACGTAGGTAAGGTTTCTTCATGTAAGACGTTCAAATTTTTTATGTACTAATGTAAGATGGACAAATACCTTGTAAAGGCAAAATCTTCTATGATGATGCACCAAAAATATTCAATGCTTTAAAAAATAGAAGACATTAAAAATGTATTATAATTAAAGAAATGATTTTTTTCCCAAGAGTTTTTGTGTTTTTTTAGTTTTTAGAAATCTCACTTAACTTTTTGAAATCTCACCCTGTTTTTGAGAAAGGGTGGGAAATTCTCACATATTTTTTTTCTATGATGAAAACACTGCCTCTGCAGAGGATGGATAAAAATCGGGATGGCATGTCTTCAGATCATCCTCAGGGATGTTTCTCCCAGACTGTCGCCAATAGCCCATTGTGCAGCTCTAGTGCGATGTAAATGAACTACAACAACTGAACTTTTAGGGTAACCCTGCAAAATTTAAGGAAAAAGTATAATCCACTTCATCAAAAGTTCTTTGTTTCTTAGCAATTTAAAAGCATTTGATAAAATTCTTTGATTTTTTTTCTTCTGACTCAAATTTCCTGGATGGTTGACAGCATGACTTGTCTAAGATGAAATTTTTCCTAAACATCATAGAGTGTTCTCTTGTCAATGTCCCTATTAACAATACTGATATTTTCCCTCTTTCCTTAAAAAATAAATAAATAAATTGGTTCTCTTCTCCTTTTTAGGTGTTTATGTAGGTAATGTTTGATAGGGACCCATAACTTTTTTCAACCAGTGAAAATATAACTTTGGTTTTGTTTATTTTGTTTAGGAAAAAATTGATTCTTCAAGTTATGAGAGGTACCGTTACATCCCAAAAAGACAAATTGAGTGGAAAGTGAAAAGAATACTTGATGATCACGAAAAGAAAAAGGGGCGCGGTAGGATACGCGTGGAAAAAGAAGTAGCCGAGGAATATCCTCGAAGTAAATCCTTTTTTTTTTTTGGTGTATGTTTATGAATGCATTATGATTAATTAGTATATCTTTTCAGTTTTAGGCAATGCTTCTTGATTATTCCGTTGAGTTGCTTATCTTACTACATATTGAGCAATATCATAAAAATTATTTTAGTATTTCAATTTTTTTAAATTTTGTTGAACAAATAAATTAATTTAAATTTATAAGATAAAGAAAATATGCATATGTGTAATTTTTAAAAAGTACTTCAATTAAAAATACGGAAGCCTTAAAATTTGTTTCTAATATATATATATATATATGTTACCGTTAAAGTGTATAATGCAGTTATTTCATAGAATACCTAGTTACTCCATGAAATAACTGATCGTGTCAGTTAAAGTATGTAATATGTTATTAATTTGACACTTTAACTAGTTATTCTATGAAATAACTAGGTATTCTATAAATTAACTGATGAGAGACAGTTAAAGTGTAAAATAAACAATTTATCTAAAATGAAATAAATAGGTATTCTATAAATAGCTAATGATAGACAATTAATTGAAAAAGAAGCAATTCATCTAATTTATGCAGCGTATAAATGGTATTTATGGAAACGTACCATAAAATCATTTGTTACAACAAGGATTACTAAAATGACACTTGGAATTACAAAGAACATTATTTCTAAAACAAAAACATTTTTTGCTGACACACTGGGTTATTTTGTTTTATGCGGCCGTTTCTTGAGCCCAATTGCAAAAATCCTTCTTCGGTGATTTTTATGATGATAGCTAAAATAGATAAATGCAGTAGATAAATGGAAGGTAAATGTATTTGTCATGCGAGATATATGATATAGATTATTTCACACTTTAACGGGCTGCAGATCGTTATTTTATGAAATAACTAGTTAAACCATGAAATACAAGAGAGTTTTACACTTTAACTGACACGATCAGTTATTTCATGAAATAACTAGGTATTCTATAAAATAACAGATTTCATACTTTAACGGTAACATATATATATTATATAACAAACTATTTTAAAATAATTCATTAAAAAGAATATAATTTTTTATTCTAAGCAGCAGAAATGTGATTCTACCGCTAGTTTGCAGAATTCCGTAAATTTCAAGACAATTGATTAGCAGAAATTTGCGAATCAAGAATTTATATTCCGACAAAATTTTCTCGGAGTTCTGCTTATCTAAAATTTAAATTTCGTTACGCAAAATCTCGTTAAGAAGACATTTTTTCCACCCTTACCAGCATCTCCTTTCCTCCCTAAAACTCTTATTTTTAATGTATATATATTCTTTTATGTGCTGATACACCATGTTTTCTTAACTGTTACAATGCGTTGTTGCATGTATTATTTTTGAGAATTCTTGCTCTAGATAATTGGGAAAAACTCAAAGAATATTTTACGAAATATATAGTGTGTACCCTAAATTAATGCAATTAAAAAAGTGTATATATTGTACACGCAATTTTAAGTAAATTTCTTTTACCAGAAATTGTTTTAGAGAGATCTCTAAAAAGCTCAGGTTAAATGAATTTTGGACAGTCCAGTTTTTACTGTTATTAAAAGTAACAATTTTCTATGTATATAAAAATTTATTAACATTAAAAAATTCCAGTTTTATTAGTTTAATTCTTGGTAGTTGAGAATTTACTGAACTTTACATAACTCTGTATTGAATAGAGTACTATTTTTTTTATTATTAAAATTGAAGTTTTTTCTTTAATTGTATTTTTTAAGTTTTATTTATTTATACATAAGTTTTATTTATTTATTCATTTATAGGGGATGAGCCAGGACCCAGTTGGAGGTGAGTTTGAAATATGATATTATGTAGATTACCACTTATTTAAATGATGTGATAACTTAGATTTCACATTTAATGCATTCTAGAAAGACCAAAAAATTTAGGCATTTGCGATTGAGTTAATATGACCACTTATCAAGAATTTTATAATTTTTAAAAATTCTATTTTTATTTATTCACATAAAACATGCTCCTGTTGACGTTTAACTTCTAAGCAAAATTAAAAATTCTAACATTTCTGCTCATTTTAAAACTCACTTAGAAGATAATTGATTTTCTACATGGGAAATATTGCAGCCTGAAATATGTTTTTTTTTTACTTATATTATCATCAGAGGATTAAATAATGTATTGGGCTCTAATTCCCTTGCAAGTTATTTTAAGATTGCTTATTTTATCATTACATATTTTAAATCTTGCATATTTCGACAAAACTTGTATATTTTACCACTTTTAGAAAATTCTGATCATACATAGTTATAATATAATCTTTTTAAATGTTTAAACTTTTTGCAGTTTTAAATACTTGAGAAATTTTTTTCTCTTTTCCTCTACAATTTTTCTTTACTCATTAAAAGTAGGATAAATGATTTTTACACAAGAGATATTTCAGCCTGAAATATTATTTTTTTAACTTGTATTATCATCAGAGGGTTAAATAGTGTATTGGGCCTTAATTCACTTGCAAGTTATTTTGATTGTAAAAGAATAAAGTATGTGTTTTGGTAATTTACCTTAATATGATTTTTTTAGGGATCAAACACCTGTATATCTACCTTCTTTTTCTGTTCCGTATGATGATGTAAGTATGATATTAGTTTTCATTTTAAAGTAGGCATCTGATGCACTTTTACAGTATTACATAATTTGTAATATTAAGTAATTGAAAATTTTAGTCATTTGTGCTTGTTACATAACTTTAATCACATAACCCTTTATCTTGGTTTATGTCTGTAAAATTTCAAAGCAAAGAATACTAGAGAAAGATATTTTTAAGGAGAAATTATCTAACTCGATAGTTGAGAACATTGCACAAATCTTATTATCAAAAATTTTTTTTATTCAAATCATGCTTTTATTTGAATAATTATATATTTCTTCTTGTATGAACTACTCAGTAGAAATTCAGAGAACACTATCTTAGACTGTTTATTTGACTGTATAGTGTGATTAAGAAAAAACAGATCACCCTGAAAAACTTTTGATCATATAATCGGATCTTCAGGTTCTAGGACTCACTCTTAATGGTTTTAGGGGGTGACCTTGAACATGCTAATTAGTGTAGATGATATTATAAGTTACAAAATATGACATAGAAATACTCTTTCTCCGCATAAACATATATTTATTTTGAGAGATTCGGATTTCTGACCCTAAAAATATAGGGGTAGACGCAATTTGGGAAATATGGCACAAAGTTTCCATGCCTCCAAAGTCTCCTTAGTGTTAAATTTAATTTTTGTGTATTTCGTGATATCTCAAGAACTTTATTAGCAAATTGAAAATCTTTTGCACCCAATTATAAAATTTGTTTATTCAAAGATATTTCCATTTCTTGGATAATTCCAAAGATAATTTTTTGGAACTATTTGACCAATTTCACTTAAATTTTGTATTTCGCTGTATAAAACTGCATTGTTTAAAATGTAAAAAATTTTATTTCTTATTATTCAAAAATGCATAGAATTCTCTTTGGATAAACGAATTTTATAATAGTGTGCAAAATTTTTTCTACTTGCTTAAAAAATTCTTGAGATATCTTGAAATAAGCAAAAAGTATAACTAATATTTAGTTTGAATTTTGAACAAACTTTGCTCTTCTGAACAAACTATGCTTCCCAGATTGCAGCTTCCCCCTATATTTTGAGGGGTAGAAATCCAAATCTGCCGAAAAAAATTCTATTTGCTTAGAGAAAGTATGTTTTTGTGTCTGATTTCGTAAGTTAAAATATTGTCTGCACAAATTATTTAGCATATTTGAGACATTAAATTATGACAAATATTTATAAATGAATAAAATACATATTTAATATAATGACTTAATTTATTATTATAAGTGTATTCTGTTCCTATTTTTTATTATGACTTATACCCATTTATTATAATGACTTATTTATTGAATGGGAAAACTTAATGAATAAAATTATAATATTTTTTTTTTAGAACCATTTTATAGAAACAGATTTTTATTTATTTTATTCTTCTGAAATGAACATTGCGTAGTAAAAAAAAAAAAAAAAAAGAAAATGCTTGTATCTTTATTGGTATTTTTAAGTTATTGAATTACAATGAAACAAATATCTTTAATTAACATTGTTTTTAAAAATAAATACATTTTACTAATTGTTTAATTTGTTTATTTTCAGGATGATGAAGTTCAGTTAGGTAAAATTATTACTTATTTTTCTATGTCTTTTATACTCTTGTGTTTTGAAATTTATCTATAAAATATTTAGTGCATTTTTGATGTCTTATTTCTACTTCCTTGTATGAGGGTCTTTTTAAAATATTTTATTTCTACTTACGAGATTTAAGTAAAAGTCTCAAATTTTTAGAATTGTTCAAAGAATTTTTTTCCTATAATTAATGCACTTTAGTTAAATTTTTAAATTAAAATATAGCACTTTTTAATATAGCAGGGTTTGTAATATTCCTGATAAAATATTTTGCCTTTATTTGTCCTCATTTTTTTATTATTTTTTTATTTATTCTAACCTTCTTCATTTTTGTGTGTGTTTAGAATATCCCTTTTTCTATGAATACGAATACAGGTTTTAAAATAATCAATATGAAGAATAGGCAGATTTCTGTTTTCAATTCAATATCTCTTATTTGAATTAATAATGCTAATTTATATAGCAATATATGATAGTTTAAATTTATTGACCGCCCCCTAATTTCCACATGGTGCTTGACATGACATTACATTAGCTGCCTGAACCATGTATTGCCCGTACATGAGTCAGGCTGGTATATAACTGTACATTATATAACTGTACATGATCGGAAATTTTCAAATTATCAGAATGATTCAGACGGGTTTCCTGAATAAGTTTTTAAAAAACTTGATGAAAAATCTATTAAAACCAAATATAGCGATTGCAAGGGCTGTTGGTTGGTCAATAGCAAAATTGCAGCATTGGTCATAGGTGCATTTCAAATACACCCTTCTTCTACTTCAATTGTTTTTAACAGGCTTCCTGCAATGACATAGGGATTTCCTTCACAATTTTTAAAAAAGGCCTTTTAAAAAGTCTATTGAAGCCAAATTTAGCAATTGCAAGGGCTGTTGGTTGGTTGGTCCAATTGTTTTCATAGAAACTCCATCTAGTTTCTCTAGACAGAGTTATATTCTTTTTTGAGTAGTTCCTATTTTGTTCTTTTACTTTGGCCATATTATTTACAAACACCTTGTGTATGTGTTACTGCTAAAGTGTAGAAATGAGTTATCAGGCATGTGATGTTTGTGTTAATTCGTGGAATTCCGCAAATCTCAAGATATATTCATGAACTTCTGCAAATGAATAATTTATATTTGGACGAATTTTGTTACTTAGCATAAGTCACGTTAACTAGACATTTATTCCACCTTTACCGGCACCCTCTTTTTTTCTCGGTTCTCATTCACAAACCATGACCTTTTTATATGCAGATTTGTTAGAGAAAAATGCATTTCAAATAAACTTCAAGAACACGAAATTGAAAAAAAAAAAATTAATCCATAGTGACTTTGACTAGAATTAATGAACTACTAAAGTAAACACAAAAGTATATAATTAATAATAATAATAAATAACCGAATTGGTAAACATTCAAAAGATCGTTTGCTAGAAAAAGTACTAAAAGAACTGCACATTGGGGGGAAAAAAATTCAGATAATTTCTTCTTCCAGCAATCACATGTCTGGTTATTCTACGGATTATCTAAAGAATTTGCAGATTAACTTGGGTGATACATTAAAACACCAAAAAATTGTTTCATTTTCCAAATTTAGTAGGTAATCTACACATTAGCAATATAATTGGCTCGTTACCAATTATGCATTCATTAAAGTGAAAATAAAGTCTACTGGACAACAGCAACCTTTCTACATGCTTAAATTAACACAATGTTATTTATTTATTGTTTTGCTTCCTCAAAAATCAATCAAACAATCAACACATTTGTTTGATAAAATCAATCATCAATCACTTTAAAATCTAACTAGAATAATTTGATTTAACATATTATTAAAATTAATGAAATTAACCTAATGTCCTTTGTTTATTTTCCAATATCTGAAGAATCAATTCAATTAATACAATTAAACAACCAACAAATTAAATGAATAATCCCAACAAACTGAAGCAGTAAGATATTACTTGATTAAAAACTTCATTCGCTTCGAAAATCGATAAAAAGGAAGTAACACTAGACATGTTTCAAAGTCCATATGAAGTGCATTATTTCCTTTTTATGTGTTTTTGCAGCAAATGAAGTTTTTAATCAGGTAAAATCAACAAATTAGTTTGAGGGAAACGAATTTTTGAACTTTAAGAATATAGAAACCATTAATAAATTGTGAAATTGTTACCTAGGTAAATTGTGAACACTCTTGATTCTTGCAATTTAATGTATTACCCTAGTTCATCTTCCAATTAGTTAGGTAGTGCCAAAAAAAAGGACCACCCTGACAAGAGACAAAAATTTAATTTTGAAGAATTCGTATATTTAAGATTTGATTTGATGGAACTATTCAACTAATTTTTCTCCAATTTTATATTTTGTCATGTAAAATTACATATTTTGAAATGATGTAAAAATGGTATACCTTACAATTCAAAATTATTCAACTATTATTAAATAAAATAATAAAATTTTTGCATGGAATTAATTATCTTTAGACAAATGAATTTTATAATTGTGTGAAAAAGTTTTTCAATTCGCTTAAAAAGTTTTCTAGATATGGCGTAATACGCAAAAAGTAAAATTAGGATTGTTCTCCTGACCAAACTACGGGGATAATATTTTCTTGATTGCGGCTATCCCCCATATATTTTTTCAGAAATCTGAATTTGTTGAAAAAAGGCATGTATATTTAAAGAAAGTATGTTTTTGTGTCTGAATTCGTAACTTAAAATATCGCCTGCACTAATTAATTAGCATATTTGAGGTTACCCCCTCAAACCATTAAGAATGATCTCTAGAACGTGAAGATCGGATCATTAGATCAAAAGTTATTTAGGGTGGTCTGTTTGTTTTTTCTCTTTTTGGCACTCTGTACATGTTAACAGCTTTCAAGATTTAGTAGTAATGTATAGTGATAATATATATATATTAAATCATTGTAGATGCTCTTTATATATACATATTTATGTATGTGTGCTTTCAGTTTCAGCTGTAGAACATTTGGATACTTCTATGAGTGATTTTTTTTGTAGGGTAAGTAATTTTATTCAATTGTATTTAGAACATACAATTCTAAAGTGGCATTTAATAGTTTAAAAATATGTAAGTTATGATGGAAAGAAAGTACTATTAATGGCTTTTAAATTTTTGTATTTAAACATAAATACTAATGCAAATTTAAACTTTATTAAAGTATTTAACGTGTACAGAAAGATCTAAAAATGAGTTAACAAAAGCTGCGAAATTCTTGGAATGTGTCATATTGAAGTTAAACTAAGAACATTCTTTTTTACATAGTCTTTTCAGAATTACATATTATTTCTTTTGGAATTCTACTATTAACTGGTTCCTTTTTTTTCAAAACTACAATATATAATTATTTTAGCTTATGTCTAAATTGGCCTATGTAATGCCTGTCAGGAATACCTTTCTTATTGCAAATTTTTTAAGAAATTTTTTGTAATTATTTATTACATTTTATTCTTATTAATTGTTATCAGAAATGTTTTGAATCATTTATTATAATTGTTTATTTTATCTTAAATTTAATTGATCCAAAAATGAATATAAATGTTAATTTCTTAAGATTCTTTTTATTGAGATTATTTCATTTATTTAAAACTCTGTATTGAGATTTAGTGTTTCATCACTATAAAATTGCTGATGCATATAATTGTTTATCCTCACTTTTACAGGCTTGTGATGCTCACATGAATAGCCAAGCTATGTGGGAAGCCCATGTTAGGGGGAAAAGACATTTGAAGGTAATAAATTTCACTCATATATACTTTTTCCATTATAACATATTAAATCAATGCCCTTTAACTGTTAACCTTGAAATCAGACGAGATTTTTGAAAGAACTCCAATTTTAAATTAAGATATTTTTTTTACAAAATTGCATAAAGTAATCATTAATTTAAAGAATAGAATGAACAGCCTGATTGAGTGTATTTAAAATGATGCATAAAATTTTTTTATGTTGGCTAATGAAACCAAGAATAGAACTCTTTACCAGAAATAAGTCATATTTTGTTACGACTATTTGTTTAACGAATCTTTGAATTGAATTTATTCTGACTGAATTTACTCTAATTCAATAAAGTAAAAATAAGGTAATTTAAAGTATTGAATAAACAATTTGATTGAATGCATCTAAAATTATGCATAAAGTGTTTTTATGTTGGGTAATAAAGTCAAGAATAGAATTCTTTGCAAACAGGTTATACTTCATTATGACTATTTATTGTCTTTGAAAATGTTATCTGCAATTTTTTGAAATAACTTTTAACAATAGAAGTAAAAAAAAAAAAATATTGGTGCACACAGCTTAAATATGATTTTTTTAAATGCTTAAAAAGTGCTTGTTTTTTGTTGAATAATTTGATAAATGGGAAGAAGTTACTTGACAGGCATACTTTCTTTACCAACGTGTCTAATAAGCTTGATAGTTAAAATGTCAAATCCATTTATGTCTTAAACTTATTTTTAAATGCATATTATTTCATGTGAAATAATTTACAGGTAGCATAACAGTTACACTTTGAATACAATACAGCCTCTTAAGAATTTAAAATTTTTTTTTGTTGTAAAATAATTTTAAACCCTAATTAATGAAGTAATTGTTGTAAAAACAGTAAAGATTTTATTTTTAGTAAAATTATTTTTATCCTCAAAGCTTGTATGTTTTTATGGTTTTAAAAAAAATGTTGTTTCAATTGTTCCAACTTTTCTTTGTATTCACAAAACAAGCATTTTATCACTAAAGTGCTTTGAATTCATTTTAACTGTGCAGCAGCAGCATCTAAAATGCTGATTAATGAAGTAATTGTTGTAAAAACAGTAAAGATTTTATTTTTATCCTCAAAGCTTGTATTCTATTTTTTATAGTGTTGAAAATTTTTGTTTCAATTGTTATCATAAAAACTCTTTGAATTCATCTTAACTGTGCAGCAGCAGCATCTAAAATGCTGATTAATGAAGTAATTGTTGTAAAAACAGCAAAGATTTTATTTTTATCCTCAAAGCTTGTACTGTGTTTTTTATAGTGTTAAAAATTTTTGTTTCAATTGTTATCACAAAAGCTCTTTGAATTCACCTTAACTGTGCAGCAGCCTCATTTAAAATGCTGATTTTTGAATACAGTTATCCAAATCTTTCCATATCCATTCTAGCTGTGTACTTTATTGGGCAATTTTGCAAAAAACAAAAAAAAAAACAAAAAAAAAACAAAAAAAAAAACAAATCTTATTCCTTTAAAAAAAGAGGGAATTTAGTTTTTCAGTTTAGTTTTTGCCATCATGTAGTTTTTTATTCTAAACTGAAAACAAACAAGATTTTGAATTACTACTCTAGTTAGAGTAAAATTATAGTTTCAATTGGATTAAGTTATGAAACTGTCATTAAAATTTGGACTAAAAATTAAAAATAGCTTTTCCAAAAAGTGTTCAAACAGTAAATGCTTAACCACGTCAATGCAGCTAAATAAAAATTTTCAAATGTATTTACCTAGCCAACACCCATCCTTTGCTGTTGAATCATTTGATAGCACACTGACTGGTATAGATAGACCACTTGAAAATATTTATTATTGTTGTTCTGGCTTGATTCCAGCACAAGCATGTTTACAGAAAACTGACATTTCATGATCGTGCTTGCTATAAGGTGAGTCTTTGTACACATAGCTTATGCACGAGGCACCGCAAGCAGGCAATCTGTTGTTATCTTTCATTTTCAAAGAAAAGGAGAACAAAACAATTACAAATATTTTTTTATGAAAAACTTTTACTGATTATCATATTTTCTATGTAGAAAACTATTTTCCATTAATGTAAACAAAATTTAGTTTTCTGTTGATTACATAATTAGTTTTTAAATTAATGTAACAATGTTAACTTTGATATACAGTGGATCTTTATGTTGAATGCCTTGAAAGGTAAGACTTAGTGTTACATAAATCTTATGTTATATAAATAATTTCACTTATCACTAAACCTTATCTATAAAACCTTGACGTATGTTTATGGAAAATAATTTTTATCTGCTTATCATATTTTCTATGTAGAGAATTATTTTCCAGTAATGTTTAAAAAAAATCAGTTTTCTATTCATTTCATAATTAGTTTTTAAATTAATGCAACAATGTTAGCTTTGATATGCAATGCATCTTCCTAATGAATACCTTGAAAGTGAGGCTCTGTGTTACATAAATTTTGCACTATGTAGATCATTTTACTTATCAGTAAGCTTACCTAATTAAACATGGACATTAATATCAGAAACAAATGAATATTTAAGTGTTTTAAAGTTATTTTTTGATGAAAATTACTTTAAACTACAAAAACATGCTATTAAGTATTTCTTATTAACAGAAAAAGAAAATTGTAATTATCATTGAATTAACAAGAAAAAAATGTATTAATTTTGGGTTTGCTTTTGAGACTATAACCTCTTAGCGAGTAATTTTCTTGCAGCCTGTGAGCAGTTATAGTTTGTCTATGGTAAGAACACCCCCTGCCAGAAAGTCTGAGGCTGTTTGCTGCTATGGAAACAAGAATAGCGCTTTTCATGGAGGGTAGCTTCTCTTCACTCTAGGGCTAACACAATAGACTGATGAGCAAGATTTCCTTTCTAACGCCAACCTGAGAAAACCTGTCCTAAATAGTGACCCAACACCCCTACTTGAAATAATTATACCTCTTTACCATAGTTACCGCCATGGGTGCAGACGAATGACTTTGGGAGTTCTTACTTTAGACAAACTATAATATTTTAGAAATTTCTTCAACCATTGTTGACACTCACGCAAAGTTAATGTTATGGAGATTTGCGGTTTATAGAATTGCCTTATATTCTATAAATTGCGTTATATTCTATAAACCTATTATTGCCTTCTGCTGTGTTAGATTTAGCAACATTCTACTTTTTAATTAATTCTTTTTTTCTCTCTATCTTTTCAGAACATTAAGAAAGTGCCCGGAGGTAAAATTCTTTTTTAAATATTTAAGTTCATAGCATTTTAACCCTTAACAGGCCATAGCCGTCGTACGAGCGACATGACACTTTCACTTTTTCGGTCAAATACTACATATAGGATGACTGTAAATCATTTTATTATTTTTTCGTACTTATTGTCATATTTACAATCAATTTAGTTGTAATTATATTATTATTTAAGTAATTATTATGGTTATTTATACCTAATGGGAGGTAAACTTGGAATATTTCTAGACTGTTAAGGGTTAACTTTTAATTTTATTTTTACTTTTAATGTTTTGATTTGCATTTAATGTTTTTGCGACATTTAAAAAAATCAATATTTCAGAAAGCACATCAAAAATTAAAGCTGTTCAATGCACTAATGAGACTGCCCATCTTATGGATATCATTAGGGATAGTGATGCAAAAGATGAATATGGAAATGACATTGTCATTGTTGGTAAGTTTTAAAATGTATATTTTATTAAATCAAATGCATATTCCAACTTATGAAAGTATGTAAAATGATATCTTCAAACATAAATTCAAATTCTTAAGTCAAAATTATTAAACAGGAGGTCATTAGCATTTATTTGTATTATATAATAAATGGAAAAATTCCACTACATTTCAAAATAATGGAAATATTTCTGTACTATACATTTATTCATATTTCTCAAGAAATACTAAAAGAACCATTTTATAACTTCAGAAATATTTACAGCAAGCAATTTCTCATACTTATTAATGAAGTTTAAAGCTTTTAGAGGTTTGAGAAACTGACAATAAATTACAAACAGAAAGTAGTATTTTTGCACACCATATGCCAAAAAATAAAACAAAAATTTGTAATAATTATTTTGGTTATTATATACCAGGGATGGCCAAGCTCCTTGATAGTCGAGCCATTTTTCAAAATTTAAAATTTTTCGCGAGCCGCGATAAAATACGTAATTAAAAGGTAGGCAATAAAAAGGTATTAAAATTTTTTTTTACAGAAATTATATTTATTGAAAACATATAAATAAAAGTACAAAATATGTGTATTTAATTTAAATATTAAAAATTAAACATATTTATTTTAATTCTCTTGATAATTCTTTAATATTTGATGAATAATTGGTGAAAGCACTTCTCAGTAATTCTTTGAGATGCTGGTTAGTTTTGCCAAGCAGCCTTTTTTAATTCAGGATACTTTGATTCTGGTACAAATTTCGAAAAGTCAGTAATCGACGTCGACTTATATTTTAATTGTAGAGCTTGATCTTCTTGCATCTCTATTAAATTTAATTCCTCAAATCAGGGGTGTCAGACCCGCGGGCCGCATGCGGCCCGAGATGAACATTTTTGTGGCCCAGTCAATATATCCGAAGTATATATTGACTGGTCAGTCAGGATATATTGATGTGGACCAGTATATATTGATTGTCGAAGTATATATTGTCGATATTGTCGAAGTATATATTGATGTGGCCCAGTCAATATATCCAATATATCAAAGTAAAAATAAATTAGAAATGTGAATTAGAAAAGAAACTAGCATATGAAATTATAATATACTATATTTATAAACTATGCGGATCATTTTAAATTGTACGCGTGAAAATGTAAAATTCTAATTGGCTTGTGGCACCTGCCATTCCAGGGATACTGCATCATATCAAAAATACGCAGAAAAAATTTCAAGTCTTCGAACGGAATTTGAAACAAGGTTTAAAGATTATAATTCCTCGGAAAACAAATTTTGTTTGTGTTTGTCGATTTTCTCAATAAATGTAGACTCAGTAGTATGTAAATGGAAGTGATTGAGATTCAGTGCGACTCAAATTTGAAGGCAAAATTCATTGAAGTGGTTATGCCTGAATTTTACAAATATTTACCAGCAAGGTTTGAAAATACTCAAAAATTCGCATATGAAATTATTTCCATGTTTGGAAGTACTTATCAGTGCAAGCAATTATTTTCTGTTATGAATGGAAATAAATCTCCTGTCCGAAACCGTATTAATAACGCTCACGTTGGGTCAATTTTGAAAGTAGTCTCGGCCAATAAAATTTCTCCCGAAATAGGAAAGATAGTAGCAGAGAAGAGATGTCAAGTATCAAACAATAATTTAACTTTATATATGTTTATTACAATGTACTATTCAAAATAAAAATATTTGTTTCTATGAACATTGATTTTTTTTTTTGCGGCCCACCTAAAGTCAAGCATTGTTTATTTGGCCCAAGTTAGCTTTTGAGTTTGACACCCCTGCCCCAGATGCTTTTTGGGTCATAATTATATTGGAAATGAAAAATTTACCTTTACCTTGAATTTTGTTAATTTCAAATGGATTCAGAAAAAAATCAAGAGACGATTTAAAATATTTCAAGCCGTCAATATTCCTTCTAGTTTTTTTATATACTCGTTGAGTTTTTCTTGTTTAATATTGGAATAAATTTTTTTAATTCGAGGAAAATGACAAAATGTTTCATTTTTAATGTCGTTTTGAAAAAGTAGTAATTTAGTTTGAAAACTAAATATACACTGTGAGACTTCACATATTATTTTATCTTTCCCCTGCAATTGTAAATTCAGTGTTTGCAAATGTTCCTTGATATCAGTTAAGAACTTCAAGTCATGTAACCACTCGTCATCGCTAACTCTGAACTCGGGTACATTTATCATGAGCCGCAAATAATCCACCAAAGAGCCGCGTGTGGCTCGCGAGCCGCAGGTTGGTCACCCCTGTTATATACAATAAATGCATAGAATTTTGTAAGCCTAGCTTAAATTTTTATGGAGATATGGACATTTTTATAAGCAAATTTTTTTGTCGTATGTTTTTTTGCTATAACTATTAATTATATTACTATTTGCTGTTACTATATTCAATAAAGTAAAAATAAATTTTTTAGAGCAATTTAAAATTAGTTATAAAATTTTTGCTTTAAAATTTGAGAAAAATTTGTTGAAAACTGTGCAATATATTAGTAATTAAAGTAGTTCTTTTATACAGCTCATGCACGGTTAAAAATAAAAAAAAAATTTCTTCTTAATTTTGTAGTGAAGCGTATTTTGCAACTAATGAAAAAGTCTGATTTGAATATTTAAAAAGTTTCAAGCAATTTTCTCAGTAGTTTTTGTACTTTTTAAAAGAAACTCAAAATGAAAAGAGGTTTTCTAATATTATTTTGTAACATGAGACAAAATTAGATAACATATTATAATACCTTATGATAAACGTTCATACACCGAAATATGATTGTAAAAGGAAAGGAAACATGCAAAAGAGTAGATACTTTGGTGGGGGATAATCCCCAACAATACCAGGGTCATTTTTATTAAATCTTGTTTAATAGTAGAAAATAAAATTTTAGTGGAAAACCCCTTATCATAAAACAACTTAACTTTAAAAAGTGTGAAAACTGCTTAGAAAATTACTTTTTTCATTTTTAAGATATTTAAATCCAACTTTTTTATCAGTTGCCAAATATGATTCACTACAAAATTAAGAAGAAAATTTTTTTCCCCATGCATGTGCAATATAAAAGAACAACTTTAATTTCTCATATCTTGCTCAGTTTTAAGTGAATTTTTCTCAAATTTTAAAGCAATAATCTATACATAATAATAAACGCGGCTGTGTGTGTGTGTGTGTCTGTAATCACAATATATCGCCCCAGAAGCCTCGCCCGGGCACGAAACTCGGCACATAATTGTGTTTTGACATAATGAAGAAGTATTTTTTTTCTTTTTCAAAAATTTGGATTAGTTTTTTAGTTATCAGTCATTTTGTAAGAAAATCTATGCTTTTTCGTCTTCAAAGAGCCATATTCAAAAAACTATTAAAAAATGCATATCTCTTATAAATGTATGCTAATGCGAACCTTACAAATGAAACATTAATTTTCGACAACTTAAACCAATAATATACGAAGGAATTAATAATTTAATTGTAAGGTTCGCATTAGTTTACATTTATCAAAGTGGATAAAACTTTAACTTTTGTACTAAAAATGTGGCAACATATTAGATACGTAAATAGAACGCTACTCTTTGATATATTTATCGCTGTTCATAATTGTTATAATAAGTTTTTCTTCTTCTTTCCACTCTCTTTTTTTTTCTTAAGCGAAGACGATAAGGGAAAATTATACTTGAGGATGCCCCTTGGCGAAATTGGTGACTTATGTTTGGCGCTATTCCTGTTTGCGCGGAACACCGTGGTAACAGAAATAACGGCCGAAACATAATGATATTTCAAAAAACATTGGAAAATTTCAACAAAACATCGGATAAAGCTTGCAATGAACCCAATATAAGCAAAATTAATAAATCCAATAAAAAGGATTTTGAATCGAAGCAAAAATTAATGGAGTAGGTGCAGAAAGAAAAGGAAAAAAACAACAACTCACTTCTTCATTAAGCTTGAATATTCTCAGATTTAGGTGCACAGAATTATCTAATAACAGTTAGATACTGTCTAAATTTATCGTGAATAGAATCTGTGTACCTCCATCGTCACATAAATTCGGCGAAATATGAATCGAAAATGGCGTTTGTGGTACCGAACTGGTGATGACATTTTTTTATAAAGTCCCTTTTTATGACTGCCCACATACCTTCGATCTTATTGACCAGAAGTAAAAGTAACCTTACCAGCCGGTATCTAACGAAGAACTAATGGACCTCTGAAATTACGTATACCGTTGAACATTAATAACGCTAAAATCTAAACCGTTGAGAATCACGATTGGGTTTCAACATCGCCCAGCTTGGCGATCAACCGCGATCACAACTTGGCGAGAATCAAGGGGCACCCTCAAATATAGTCTACCCGACGTTAATTTTTGTAGCGATATAGAAATAGAAATTGATACCATAAAAAAATTATAGAGAAATAGATACCATAAAAAATTAATTCGTTTTCGTGTTCTTTTCATGTATTTAAAGCAACTTTTGTATGCTTTTACAATTTCTGAGGCCTTTTTTTAAGAAAAAAAAACAAGTCTCCACCTGATAGTTATATTATAGGTTAGGTTACCATAGCAAAGTTACATCTTCAAACATCCTCAAGAGCTATAACACATCTGCAGCAGAACTGGATATGAAGACAAAATTGCAGGACAGGAACACTTTAATTGTCCACTAATCTTCAGATTTCCTGCTATGTTTTAAAAAACTTTATTTGTGGAAACCTTTAGCGTGGCGGACAGCTGGCCGCCTTAGGTGGCTAGTTTTGTAATAAATTTTAAATTGCACCAAAAATTTTGTTTAATTGTATTGAATATTTTCACAGTCATCGTAAAAAACGCGACAATTTTTCTTTCTATAGAAATGTCCTTATCACCATAAATATTTTAGCTAGGTTTGCAAAATTTTGTGTCATAATAACCAAATAATAATTGAGCACACAATAACCAAAATGATTGGTACTAGTTACAAATTTATTGCTACATTTTTTGGCATAGGTTGTACAGAAATACTATTTTCCATTAGTAATTTATTGTCGGTCTCTTAAACCTTTAAACTTTATTGATGAGTTTGAGAAATTGCATAACCTAAATAGTTATAAATTTATAAAATGATTCTTTAAGTATTTTTTGAGAGTTATAGTGTTTCCATTGCTTTATCCAACCCCAATATTTCATCAGTGCCTAAAGCCATGTCAATGATTATCAGACAGATATCAAATATCTTTCAATTAATTGGGTATAATGATGATCAAAAGAATTTTAAATTTATTAAATAAAAAATAAAATATCAAAATATAAATTTTGTTACCTTTTTAAATTTAAAAATAAAATTTTCCGGGTGAAATAGGAATAGTTGACGGCTATGTTGATTAAAACTTATATTTCTTTACAATGGCTCTTAGTGTTTCTTTATAGCTTATAGCAAGTGCTTTTATACAATTCGGTCTCATTAAGAATTTAATTAGGCAAGAAGGAAATTTTCCTTCTCTCAAAAATATCAGTTTGCCGTGCTTCTGTCTACTTTATATCACATGTATAATATTTATACATTACTAGTGTAGTAATTAATGTTTATACATAACTGCAATAAAATTATATTTTTGTGACACTATTGTTTACACAAATTACACCCAACTTGCAACCAATTTGGTCTGAGAGAACCGCTTCCAATTTCGATAAATCGCTTTACAAAGTTTTAAATGCTAGGTAGTTTGAATTGGTTGTTGTTGGCTACATTAACTTCAATGATTTTTAAAAGCTATTAAGTTTAATGTCAGTTTAATTTAAACATATGTGGCTGCAGTTGTTGAAAAATTAAAATAACTTTGTTAAATAATTTAACATATATTTTTTTTAGGATTAGGATATATTAAAGAAACACATGGGGAAGGTGGAGATCTTTACAATTGTTACCTATGTGGAGCTTGCACTTCATCTTTTGATATCATTGATCATCTTAATCAAACAAAGCACAAAATAAAGTACCTGGTTAGTTTTCCATAGATTTCTTGTTCATTGTTTATGTTATGCATAGTTGTTTTCATAAAAGTAAATTGTCAAATGTTATTCCAGTGTACATAAGGGACACATCATCCGAATTAAAATTCCATAGGAACTCATGCCTAGAAACGTAACTGTTCACAGCTAGGGGCACTTCCCTTTCATGACTTGATAAGAAGAACATGACGAAACAGTTCATAATAGGGAAGCACCTCCAGCCAGCGTATGATGACATTTCCGAGCCTGGGTTTCTATGGAGTTTTTATCCTGATGATGTGCCCTAACACTCGTAGAAATTTGTTGCAACATTTATGCAAGCGCCTGCTTTATATAACATTTTGAAACTTGTACATTTCAGCAGAAACTAGACATAAATTATCATTTTAAAAAAAGTGAGAAAACTGATTGCAGATTTAAAATCACTGATAGAAAGTATCTAAGATCTGTTACAAAATCCCGATGCAAAAGGGAAAAAAAAGTGTCCCCCAATGTTATTTGTGCCTGCTATTAATTAGCTAAATTTTTTATTATTCTTTTTTGTTTGCTTATAGGAACCCAATTATTTTCTATTTGTTTGTTAATTTAAAATTTTGCTAAAACTACCTAAATGTTATTTTTTTGTTTTTAATTTTTTTTTACATACAAGTGACAAACATACTTTTCAGTTTTAAGTGGTACTTGTTCTATCCAGTCCCAAGCAAAGTATTGTTTTAAAATGATCTAATCAGCATTATAAAATAGTATGTAAAAAAATATTGTCTCTTATTATGTTTGAAAAAGATCCTTTTTATTTTGAGCTTTTAAAGATAACTGGCATGGAAACTTTGATTTTGATTCTTTGTTGAATTATTACTTAATCAGTTGCATAATTTTTTTTCTTATCATCGAACATTTACTTTCTGTCTTTAAAATAGAGATTTATATTGTTTTTAAGATAAAAAGAATGTGATAAAAAGAAAAATAAGTAAAGAAAGAAAAGAAAATAATGCAGAAATGGCAAGATCTTGGTCTTAAGGACCCATAGTTTCCAAAATCCAGCAGAATCACTGTAATCTTACAATCACTGTTTAGAAATGTAAAAATAGAAATGTTTAATGTTTTTTACACTGTAGTTTTTATGTAACAGTTAACTAATTTTAACTTTTACAATTTTGCCAGCTATAGAAAAACAGAATTACAATAGTTATTTGTCATCCATTTTTTAATTTCTGATTTTTTGTCACTCATGAAGGAAGGAAAAGTTACTTTTTTATAGTTAAATTTCTTCATAGGTATTTTCACTGAATGCTGAATTTGATTGTTACAGAAAAATGTAATGCAGTGAAGTTCTTATTTTTTTTTAGTAAATGCTGAATTTGCTTGTTATGGATGGAGTGCAGTGGAGTGATTCTTTTTCTTTAGTGAATGCTGAATTTGATTGTTATGGATGGAGTGCAGTGGAGTGATTCTTTTTCTTTAGTGAATGCTGAATCTGATTGTTATAGAAGAACGTAGTGCAGTGGAGTGATTCTTTTTCTTTAGCGAATACTGAATTTGCTTGTTATGGATGGAGTGCAGTGGAGTGATTCTTTTTCTTTAGTGAATGCTGAATTTGATTGTTATAGAAGAATGGAGTGCAGTGGAGTGATTCTTTTTCTTTAGCGAATACTGAATTTGCTTGTTATGGATGGAGTGCAGTGGAGTGATTCTTTTTCTTTAGTGAATGCTGAATCTGATTGTTATAGAAGAATGTAGTGCAGTGGAGTGATTCTTTTCCTTTAGTGAATGCTGAATTTGATTGTTATAGAAAAATGTAGTGCAGTGGAATAATTCTTTTTCTTTAGCGAATGCTCAACTTGATTGTTATAGAAGAATGTAGTGCAGTGGAGTGATTCTTGTATTCCAATATCAATTTGTGGCACTTGTAGTTGATAATTAAATTGTATGGAATACTTTAAATGCATCTTCTAAGGAAGGTGGGTGGGTCACCCAAACTATTGGTTAAAAGCGGAGACTGGTAGGTTTGATTCTATAGTCTAAAACTGGATCTGACATTTATGTACCGAAAGAAGCATATTACATTTATTAGTCCAACATTTTTAAGTTTGGAAGGATCCGGTGCTGGTACCTAATTAGTCACCTGACTGAGATAAAAATCATGTAGTGTATCTACCACACCAGGCCTGTTAAATGATAGGGAACAAAAGTTTAATGTTTCACAAAATCTGGGTTAATTGCAATATTTTGCTTTCATTTTTTACCCCATATTGCAGATAAAATGTATGTTGCATCGTTTTTCTATAATTCAAACTAATATAAGCATTTCATTTATTAGGAGGAGATGGATTCAAAAGGATATCCCAATGGCATTGAGCAAATTAAGTCCTTTACAGGATTTTCTGCTTATTCAAAGGAATGTATGATCAATGATGAATGTCTCAAGAGCAAAAGCAAATACGGTGATGGCAAAGTCTCTGTTTACAAGTCAAAAAGTAAGCTATTATACTTTACTTAAATACTCTTTTAAATTAAGAAACAAATACTTTGTGTCCTGCATATTTTAAGCGATTTTAAAACATCTAAAATCTTATTTTAGTATAAAGCAGGGGTTGCCAAACTTTTTTGATCATCGACCCCTGTATAATTTTTCGAAATCTCCATCGACCCCTACAAACGTAATTTTCTGTTAATTAAAATAAAACTCTATTAGATACTGTGTTTGTACATTTATTTTATGACTTTAAACATTTATTAAAGTAATAATACATTGTGTAACAATAGTTTTATGAAAAATATATTAATATTGAAATTTACAAAAATTGGCCAATTTTGTATTTTTTGTAAAAAAAATACAAAGTGTGCTATAGTTTTGTCGCGGGCTGCACTAATCCATATTAGTAAAGCTTACCTTCTTTTTTGTGCATTGATAATTAAAATTTATATCTAAACCAAACGAATGGTTTTATCGAAACAATAACTAATTATCCTAAACTATAAAAGTTTTAATGATGACACTGCAAATATTCAGCACAGTTTGGAAAGATAGCTGAAACTTTGATGGTATTTGCATTTGTAACGTCAGTGCTCGTCACACGTGACATTTGGACAAGCGCACATGTGCATATGACTTATAAACTGCGCTGAGTTCGTGCCACTGCGCGGTGGAACGTAAATACTTGTTTCACCCCAATAAATATACGTTTATTAATTTATGTTTTATAAAGAAACTGATATTGAGTCAATTATAAAAAAATTCACAAATTTTACATACTTAAAGGTATGTGTGATTTGCGTATTGAGAACCGTTTTTTTTTTAAACCCACAATCGACCCTTCCGATTCGAATCGACCCCCATTCGCCCCCCTGTCTCAGATCGACCCCCGCTTTCGTTAAATAGACCCCTGGGGGTCTATATAGACCACTTTGGCGACCTCTGGTATAAAGTTTACAATACTTTACCAGAAGATTTTTTCAAAAAATATTGTCATTGATCTGACCAAAAGCATTTATTGATTGTAACAGTACACTATGTTAAAAGGTTTAAAAATATGGGCTTTCTTTGCTTTGATACATTGCTTCTATCAAAATTTCCAAAAATCTATGGCACCACAGTAAACCTTTACCTTAATTGTTTTAAAATTGTGTCTTTGCTAGAGACTTTTTAATTGCAGTAATAGGAGGAAATTTAGATAGCTATATCAGATCCGTAATTCAGCTTGAGGTTCAGTTGACACCTTTGAATTGGGTCACAAAGAAGACAGAGGGGCAAGGTGAGTGAAGTGTCCAAGCGTCTGCAATGTCAAACGAAAACTTTATGTATGAATGCTTGAACCATTAAACAAAACTTCATATGACATTCTGGGTTCAAGTGTTCAACCATACACTTGACATTTTTGTCGGTAGTGTACTTGTAGATGGCCTTCCAGTGGAGGTTTCATCTGAATTTTTTAATTTGAAAACCATGATTTCTTCATAACAGGGCATTTTTAAAAATAACCACCACCAGAAGCCGTTTTAATTTTGGGAAAAGTTTACATATCATGTTTTTTCAGAGTTCCACACAAAAACTTGATTCCATGCATGAATTGCTTATTCCTTTTACTAATCTGAACATTATGTGATGTGTATTTGCTTCAGTGCATTCACAAATATACCGTTTCAGGCAAACCCTATAGTCACTGTTCCAAAAAGTTTCAACCTAAAAGTAAAAATATCCCTTTTTTCTTCCATCCATCCTTTTCTTTCTTTCTTTCTTCTGTAATTTTTTCCACGTTTTTTCTACATTTTGAAAGCGTCTGTTAATTTTTTTATGTTATTTTCTCTGCTATAAGACTTAATCCTAAATAATTATTCAAATCGAAACACTTTCTCATACTTTTAAAAAGTCACATTCTGTTGTTCCTAAATCTATTTTTGGCTCAAGTATGCATAATTATAAGTAAATTTGCTCAAAAGTTGGTAATTTTTTTTAAATAACAACAGTTTATAAAAAAATCTTTATTTTGCTATTTTGTACTATAAATTATATTTCTTAATGTGTACTTAACTCTTGATTCATATTTCTCTTCTTTATTTAGACATGTTTCCACCTTCCTATGGCTCTCATCTTTAAGGCAGTGTATGAAAGATGCCAGTGATCATTTAGATTTTTGCATTTCAAGTTGTTATATGTTATATAACAGTTAAAAAATTTGTGAATGATGTATGTATATATTTTGTGTTTATATGTAGAAGCTATGACTGTACAATGCATTGTGTTTTATTATCATCTTTCATTATGATCATATAGATTTTTGCATTTTAAGTTTTTTCTTCATGTTACATGATAGCACCTTTTTAAAAACAATTAGTGAATGATGTATATATTTTGTGTATATATGTAGAAACTACAACACCTCATAGAGGATGCCATTGTGATTTATTATCTTTCATTATGATCATTTAGATTTTTACATTTCAAAATGTTTTTCTGTTATATAATAACAGCTATTTAAAAAAAACTTACGATGCTATGTATATATTTTGTAAAATTAAAGTAGGATACATATTTGGTTATTATGAACTTTTTATGAAGATATTAGGAAGGTTATTCTTTGATTTGTAATTCTTGGGTTTAATCTGTGATTTGTTTGATAAATCACAATATTTTGAGAAAGTCTGAACTTTTTCAATTTAGTTGATTTCTTTCAAAAAATCAGTTTCTCTCATTTTTTATTTTATTTGTAGTTTATAAAGTTCTTTAATCACATGTATATTAAGTATACTAGTGGATTAATTTATAAAAAATTACAATTTTCTTGACTTTTTACAGTAGTTATTAAAAATTTAAAGTTTATTTTTCAATAGCTAAATAGGCAAACCCACAAAAATTGCTAAATTAATATTTTGATGCATTTATTTAATTTCTAAATGCAAACAAATTGTATTTTAAAATGAAGTTTTATGGCAGAAAGCAATTTTTAAAAAGTTTTTAAGCTTGCTTAATCCATATTTCTCATTTATATTTACTATTTTAATATTTATATTTAATTATATTATATTTATTTAATGTTATATTTTAACTAGATTCATTTTAATTTAGCTTAGAAGTTTTATAAAAACTGAACCTAGCATTAATCATTTAATGGAGCCACATTATTTTATTACAGATTTTTTTAATACATTATTTTCAAATGTACATCCCATATTTTTATACTTGTTAAATACGACATATATGAATTTGCTAATGTTATAAATGTATAAAAAATTATTTCATGTTAGGAAAATTTTGAAAGATGTAACATAGTGCACTGCTTGTTGCTTTATTCTTTATATAAAAAAAAGTGCACTGCTTGTTGCTTTATTCTTTATAAAAAAAAATAAAAAAAAAGCTATCTTTTTATATTGAATCAGATAAAATGTAAATAAAAACTTTAATTTATCATAGCTGTGATTTTTTACCCCTTTTGGCTTCTAAATTTTGAATACGACATCAGGTTTTTTGACGGTTGTTTCTATCTCACAGTAAAATTTTCAATTTAAGTCACGTGATTGAAACCATGCCTGATGGAGGTAGATACCACCTTTTCCTTTTTTTACATCAAGTGCCCGACTGTGTTCATACCAAAAGGAAATCATTTTACATCAATATTTAACTCTGATTCCGATAAAAAAATCTAAATTGTTTGTTATAAAAACAATTAAAAAATAAAATACATAACTCGTTATTTATCTGAGAAAATAACTTGTTATATATTTTCAACTAAATAAGGAATAATAGAAATTTTAGTTTTAACTATATTTTGTTTCAGATCTCTTTTAAAGTTAAATATTTCTCATTAAACTTTTATTCTAAATCTTTCAGTTATTAAAATCAGGCATTTATTTTTATTCTAAGAACGTCCTCAAAGGACCCAACTAGAACAGCTTTGACATAAGCTGTTCTAGGATGAAAGGTCTAGGACACGGGGATGAAAAACAAAAAAGAGGACTGCTGAAACTAGCCTACAGACAAATGGTAATAAAGGAAAGAAACATTGTGGGATAGTTCAGTTGGGTGAGTGAAATAGGTCTTGAATGGCAGGGACAGAATGCCAAATTTGAGTACTCATACTGGCATAAGGAAAATTAAATTAAACTTACGCCAACTATAATTGTAACATGCCAATATATCATATTTTAACTTAAAATTACAATGTGTCACCCTTATAATGCAACAAGTAAATCTTTCATACATTCATTTGTCTATATTAGAGCTACATATATCAATGTATCTGATATTTTGTACTTAAAAGTACTACCTAGTACATACTTTAAATGAATGTATTATAAAATTATAACTTGTAACTGATAATCAGTTGTATTAGTATGCAAGTGAGTCTATATATTTGTCTGAAATGATCAAATATCCAATTTTCTTCATAAAATTTCTATTCCAAACAGTTTTTTCAGTTATTTAAATTAGTCTTTTATGTTGCCTATAATTGTAACACAACAATATATCATTTTAATTACAGTGTATCCTCCAATTATTTGGAATAAGAAAATCTGTCATATATTTGTTTCTGTTAGTGTGTACATTGAAAGTTCTTATCCTTTTATTGTTTCTGTCAGGATTCTGTATTGAAAGTTCTTATCTTCTTATTTTGTTAACTAAGATAAAAATATGTTGAAAAGGTTCTCTTTCAAAGTGGTGTAATCATTGTTAAACATTTTGCTATTCCTTTGCAATGCTGTTGTCTCCCTTTTACATTGTCTATGATTGTAACAGGCCAAAATATAAGATTTTGGTTATTTAAATCAAAGTGTGCCACCCATATACTGGGAATAAGTAAATCTGTCATAGATTTGTTTCTGTTTGTGTACATTGAAAGTTCTTATATGATGTTCTGTTTGTGTCTACTAAGATAAAAATAAAAATATGCTGAAATGGTTCTCTTTCAAAATGGTGTTATCATTGTGCTATTCCTTTGTAACTAAGTAATAATTACGGTGATTTGTTTCTGTTTGTTGTTCTTTGCAATACGGTAGATTTGTTTCTGTTTGTGTACATTGAAAGTTCTTATATGCTGTTCTGTTTGTGTCACCTAAGATAAAAATATGCTGAAATGGTTCTCTTTCAAAATGGTGTTATCATTGTTAAACATTGTGCTATTTCTTTGTAACTCAGTAATAATTACGATGAGTCATTTTGCTCTATCTGTCCAATTAGATTGAGGACATCATTTCTTTTGAACTTTAAATGTTATATTTCTATATTAGATTTTGTCAGTCATTTAATTTTAATAACTTTTAAATTTATTATTTTGTCTTATTCTCAATTTTATGGTACCAATCCGCTCACTAGCAATTTCACTGACTATATGACTGCTGGGCCTATTGGTTTACTGTTTACTACTCATTATTTTGTTTTACTTTTTTAACTATTACCTTGAACTTAATTCTATTTATTTCTTTACAATTTATTTTTGGCACTTTTGTATGTCTTTCATACTTATTTGAAATAAAAATATTTATATTTTAGTTATTTTTGATTGGAATGCTATTTATTGATCACGAAATTTTAATTTGTGTAAGACTATAAAAAGATTAAAAACATAACACCTTCTTAAATAAAAAGGAAGTCAAGTATATTTAAATAACTATTATTAGTACCTGGAAAAGAATTTTCTGCATAAAAAGTTATGACATTAAACTTGCCGTAAGTTTTTAACTGTATTTTATTTTTATGCCATGGGATATAAATATTAGAATAGGATAAATTCTTAATAGTGTTAAAATTTTGATAAAAAATGCTTGATATCGAGAATAGATAGTATTATTCTCCTTAAACTCCAAATCAGTATTTTCACTGTGCTTGCCGCAAAATTTCTAAAACTACTGATTTTAATTTGATGAAAACTATGCTCTTCAGAGTTTATGTCAAAATTTCTTGAATTAAATTAATACTCTAATCTAGGGCAATGCTGCTTTACATCTAACTAATATTCATTTGCTAATAAAATAAACCATGGGGGAGAAATTCACATTGAAAGATTAGTTGTTGACATAAGCTGAAGGTGACTATTTTAATGTTGAAATTTGATGATTAATTTTGTTGTTTATTCATAAAAAAATATTAAGAGTCACAAAATATTGTTATATACTAAATTTATATAATAAGTTTTTTATTTGTGAAAATTCTCTATGTGTAGTTTGTAAGTTCCGATACTAAACTACAAATACAACAGTGCACTAAGATTATTGGCTTTCTAACAATGTGAATGATAGAGAGAAAGGATGTCGCTCAAAGTTACTCAGTGTAATTTTAAAATAGCTGAAATACTTCTTTAAACCAGGGTTGGGGTTTTGAACGTCCTAAACTGGTTTTGGACAGGACACGTGGGTTTTACTGTCTTTAACTGTCCTAAACTGACTACTGTCTTAAAGTGTCCAAAACCTTGAAAACTGATAAAAGGGTAAAAATTCTTTTTGTGTAACCATTGTACACATATTATTAAATATTTTATACACTTTGCTTTGGGATAGGAAAAGATTTATAACTTTTGAAGCTCTACAATTTATTAAACAGCATAAGTGAATGCCTTGTTCTTTAAATATGAATAAATATGCTAATACTGATAAAGAATGTTTTTGCATAAGGATAAATAATGCAATATTAAAAATAATAATAAACTTTTTTAATAACTTGTCTTCATTTTGTCTCTTGCAGGGTGCATAGCCAAATTATTCAACAAAAAATAAGCACTCTAATAATATTTTTAAGTACTTTAAAAGAATATCATAACTAGGCAGGGTTGGAATGTTTTTGACAATTGACGGTTTTATCTGATTTTAACAGTCATGTCAAAAAAATAAAAATAATAATAATTCTTTTGGCATTGTTTTTGACAATTGTCAAAACTTTTGAATCATGTACATCGAATGGAGTTTTCATAAGCTACGGTCTTAGATTGGGGTTGAATTTATTGAGAAAACGTTGAATAGAACAAACTGAACATTGTTGTTCAAAACATAATACCAATTTCCCTGCCAGAGGACATACTAGATGGCGCCACTAACTCTCTCTTTAAGAACAAAAATTTTTTAGTTAGTTTTTCTGTAGTGTTGTTTCGTTAATATACGCATGTTAACTAATTCGAAGGAGTATGTGGTCATTACTTTTAAGATTTATTTAGATACGAACCGACCCGAATAGAAGAATCAGGTAAGAAACCTTTTATTGATACCTGTTCTACTGAAGTAGAAAAAGAATTAAGCTTTCTTTATGGACAATTGTATTTCTGCATAATTCGTAGCAAAAATCAACATGGTAAAGGAAAAATCTTAATTTGGAAAAGGGAAAATTAAGCACTTTTTAAAAACACCCAATAAAAAAAGCACCTTTTATTTTTCACAATATTTTTTTTAAAAATTACGACATAATTTGAATAAAAAAGTTTTGAACAGAATGGTTTAAACCCTAGATTTATTATATTCTGTCCCAAACCTTGCCAACTTTGCATTAAACCGATTTTCAAATCATTCAAAAGAGGAACAAAACATAGAAAGTCTAAAACGGACAACAACAATAAAAAAATGGCCATTTTCAGAACCCTAAGACAATAGTTAACCACCACTTTGAATAAGAATCCACGAGTCATGTCACATTTTCTTCAATAAAAAAGTTTCATGTTTAATATGTAGTAACATCAAAACAAGAGTGACTTAAATTAATTCTTTAAAACTTTTTTCATCAAATTACTGTTTATTAAGAAAAATATTTCATTTTGAGAGTTCAAAAATGCTTAACACTTCCTTTTGAAGTTCCAAAACAGCAATCTATTACACTTGTTTCAATACAAAAATTATAAAAACTTTGCAAAAACAGCAATATAATATTTCTTCTAATATAGAGACTGAAATCTTTATATTTTAATCACTTTATTGGAAAAAAGGACTTAATTCCAGTATTGTAATGGGCATTAAAATAACGTGTTTAAGGAACAGTCAATATAAATTCGACAATGAGGATTTTCTCTAGTATGTGCAGGATAGTGCTTTGTGTGTGAAAGATCTCTTACACATACATTGCATGAACAAGGTTTCTCTTAGGTATGAACAAGAAGATGTGCATTTAAACGATGTTTTAGTGAGAATGTTTTATTACACACTCTACATGAATGAGGTTTTTCTCCAGTATGAATAAGATAGTGTCGGTTCAAACTACCTTTACGAGTAAAAGATTCGTTACATATGCTGCACAAATAAAGTTTCTCCCTACTATGTACAACCGAATGTTTCTTTAAGCTCACTTTATGTGCAAATACTTTATCACACAAATTGCATGAATAAGGCTTTTTTCCAGTATGAACAATAGAGTGTACATTTAGATGATGCTTCTGTGAAAATCTTTTATCACATACACTACATGAATAAGGTTTTTCTCCACTATGAACAAGATAGTGTCGATTTAAATTTCTTTTATGAGTGAAAGATTTATCACATATATGGCACAAATAAGTTTTCTCTTTAATATGGAAATTATAGTCTTTCTTTATGTAATTTTTAACTGTATAAGATATTTCACACATATTGCATAAATAAGGCTGTTTTCTGAAACATATGAGAGATTGTTTACATAAAATATAAGCTAGCTACTTTTTCATAGGATTTTGAAAAGCAGCAGACCGATGTTAAACTTTTCTGGTTGCTTATTTTTGTGAATCTTTAGCCTTAAATGGAAAACTTATGGCCAGAGAAATGGAAAACGTGATTGGTTAAATTTTCGATGAAGAATATTTTTCACCAATCCGATTCTCATATTCCCTCCATGGTAAATGGAGGTGCGTAAATCGCAGTGCAACAAGAATGACCCTGAACTCAGGATTGAACTTGGAGTGCCTTACAGAGCAGAGATAAGGAAGACATAGCGTTTATTAAGTTTTATGGTTTTAATTTAATTTTAAAACCGCGGACTTTTCGTTTCGATTTGGTCAATATGTTTACGGATGGTTTAGGAAGAACTTAAATCCTCATTCGCTAGTCGAAGTTCATTATTTGATTATTCTTTTTCTCAAGGTTTTTTAATATTTCATCTTTATTCGAATTGTTTTTCGTAATTTATATATATTTTTTTGCGAAATATTTCTGATTACGTACTAAGCAAATGTTATATGAATGATTTGAATTTCAAAAATGTGTAAAATTAAAAAACATGTTTCCAGTGTTTATTTAGTTAACATATTTGAGTTCTGCAACGCTGAAAAATATTGAATTTTTAAGGATATTGATTTTTTCTTTCAATGCGAAATTTTATTTTGAACATATTCCACCATTGTTTATTTTTTCTAAGATATCCCTTATTTGTTTTAATAAATTTTTATGATATGGAAATTTGATTTAGGAATTGTATTTTATGTTTAAGCTGTATGTAAACGAAATGGTGAAATCCAACATACACTTCAAAGTTTTAATATTCTCGCCTTTTGAAATTTTCTTTTAACTAATATATATTAACTGTCTTAGAATGATGGCTTTTCTTGCAACTTTTTAAGTTTTACATATTTTCTTAATTACAGGTCTCCCGTGAGTGAGCGAGAACAGGGAAAACCTGGAATTGTCATAGAACTTTTTTTTTTTTACAAGAACCTGTAAAATTTCTTCATCATATATTGAAAATAACCAATCTGAAAATTGTCAGTAACAGTAATCAATTGTTGAGATTCAATTTAAAGCATTCTAACAACTGTTACAATTATTTGTTGTAAAATTTCCACATTTTAGTGAAACTTTCCCTGTTTCTTCATCTTCATTTGAAAAAATTTAATCAAAGTTTAATGTTTGGCATTACAAATAACATACAAATTAAATAGATATGGTATAGATATACTTCATTTGAAAAAATTTAATCAAAGTTTAATGTTTTGCATTACGAATAACATACAAATTAAATAGAGATAGGTATAGATATAATATGATCAGGATTTACATTGAAATTTTCTTGAAATGCCTGAAAAAATCAGGGAATTTTCGGGGATATTTCCGTATTGTGATCTGTCACGCCAACTGCAATTGCCAAGGATCCAAATAGATTTTAAACTTGCAAATTTAAATAAAAACAAACAAACATGTAGATGTTTGCTCGAGGGTGGCTGCTTTTCGAGTTGTTCCCTTTCTGTGATTTTTTATTTAGTTTCTTGCTGGTGGTTGCCCAGAAGTTGAAAAGACTTGGCAATTATTCTGCCACAGATGCATTATGGAAATCTCCCTGAATTTTTTTCCTTTTCAGAAATTTGGTTACTCAAACTTCGAATTTCAAATTCTGTTTGTAACTTGTTCCAAATCTATTCTGAGTCCTATTCTCATTTACCTGGTGCACACAGTGTATAAGATTGTGTGCATGGGTAAGTTTTGTAAATTTCCCAGGCTTTTATATTTAAACCACTTTTAACCACCAGAAATCACTTTTTTTAAAGAATGTTTTCTTAAATTTACTAAGTAGGTAGTAAAATGTTTAATGGTATTAAAAGTAATTCCTTCGCATTTGCTATGTCTACCTATTAAGAAGAAGAAAAAAAATTCTTGATGTAAACATTTTTCTGTGACTAAATTTCTTGGAATTTTATTGATCACCAAAATTCAAATAGCAATTTAAATTCATTGGTTACTTTAAGTCAGGTGCTAACAATTTTGATTTTTCAGTATGGTTTATTAAGAGGTCATTCACTGTACTCAAATTTTATACAATCATAAGTTTTGTTAATTAAATTGAGTTTTTTATGGCAGCTTTGTTACCTTGTAATTTTTTACTAATAATTTCATTTGCATGTAAATTATGTCTCATTAACATTAAATTATTCCAAGATAATATGAACATTTTACAAATGATGCATTTTTTTATCTATCCATTACTCTTTTTAAAAGTTAAAAAATACTTGCTGTAATCTTTTATGCAATGTAATCAATTATAGCAAATAAAATTGCTTTTTAGATATTTTTATTTATCTTTCTTGAGGGCAAAATCATGTCTCTATTAAAATTAAGGGATATTCAGTGGAATAAAATTTTGTTACTCTAATTTATTCTTACAGCAAGTTCTTTTTTCTAGATGGCTTGCAATGAATCTCCACCTAAGATAAATTTTGATTTTGAGTGCAGTCAAGTTGAAAAAAAAACTGTATATCTCACATTACTCGGCACACCCTGTCAATATATGCATTTACTTCCTAAGGTAATAATATATTTTACTGCTGTTTTCTTTGTGCAATTATTACTATTAGTTTACATGCTGTTTGGAAACCTTGTAATATAGTTTTTACTTTCAGTTTGGCGCCATAAAGTAACATTGGGCTTTTTATTTTGATGCTATTGAATTGCAACATCCAATTCGATTTTTATTTCAATCATGAGAAATCAACTTTAAACTGAAACTTAGAATTTATTTGCTACTACTGTTTATTTGTGTTTTACAACTTGCTGAATTAATTTTTTTTTAATTATTTAATTCAGTTATATACGTTATACAATTAAATCAGATTGTTAGAGTTTCAGTTAAAGGCTTTTATTTGATTACTGTATTACCACTTTAAAGACAGGAGCCTCATCTCCGTTTGTACAGTTCATGTTCAGTAATTAATAAAAAATTAACTGAAAGCAGCACATTCTATTGACTTTTCGTAATATGGATACATTCCTGTGGTGCTTATTTAATAATTTACTTTTTAGCCTTATAAGAGTATCTATTGTTTTTAAAAATAATTTTCTAAAATTTTAAAGAAAAACTGCAATTATATTTATAAAATTCCAAAATGTAGGGGGTCTAGTTCAAAGTTGTTAAAAAGGTTTAAATTTTCACATTTTAGTTAGTTTTTTTTTAAAGGAAATTTTCTTTAATTAATGTAATTGAAAGTGTTAATAATGTAATTTGAAGATTTATTTAAAAATAAAAAATGATTGTTTTTTACTGTCAAAAATTCTTATTAGTCAGATATTCTTAGCACTTACAGCATGCATTTTTAAGGTGAGAAAACAGGTTGTAACTTAACTTTTGGAGGACGGTGTACTTGATAGTTATATAATCATTTCCTCCAACTATTTTGAAGAAAAAAAATTCAAATATACTTTAAGTAAACATTTTATTGTTTAAGTACCAAAGATGGGGAAATAACCGAGCATCTAGGTTTGAGCATCAAAGATTCAGTGGTGGAAGCAACCGAGCATCTAGGTTTGAGTACCAAATTTAGTAGTGGAAACAACCAAACATTTAGATTTGAGATTAATAGGTACCAAAGAGCTGCTACAGTCAAACTGATAAACATCAAAGCTGAACCAAAACTATAACCTGTAATGAGCTGAATTCAGCTCAAAGCTGTATGTATATATATATATTGTTGCAAAGGCTTGTTCTTAAGATTTTTCATCTTTTTATAAGTCGAAATTCTATTGATGTCTAGGATCCTGTACGATCTTACGGTTTTGACTATTTTTGTTTAAATTTTAATAAAGGAAGTCTCAAATTTTGCATTTCTATTTTTATCTTTTATGATAAATACATTTTATAATTCTGACATGCAACCTATCTTGCGAAAAACGTAATACTTAAATCATTAAAATGTTTTGAATTAAGTTAGTTGGCCTTTCTGAAATTATTTCTTTATTTACATTTTAAATTATGTAGCTGATTGTATGCGTCTTTTCGGTAACAACAACCATTTTGTGTCGCACAAATCAATCTTTTGAAATAAATATCACTATCTAATTCAAAAGCCCATCAAAATTGTAAGAAAAGTGCGATATTTCTCATTTTACTACCTCCAATTTTTCTGTTTTCAGCTTTTATTGCTTTGTTTTGAAATAATTTGTATGTGAATAATTAAGTAAATACTGCAAACCTAAATAATTTTATAATATGCTGAAAATTCTTAAAAATTAAAAAATTTTGATCGCTACTTCTTGATTACAAATATCCTGACTTTTAACTGAAGCTTTGATATTTCGATAGTACCTACTGGGAAAGTTGTTGTTTACAGTAGGTTCCGTTTATTTTTTCTTTGCTGAAAATTTTTTTTGATTTTTATATTTTGTAATTATTATTTTTATGCAATGATAAAAATCTTATAGGATGCCTTCATTACCCCTTCAGATTCTGAAGAGACTGAACTGAGTTCTGATGAAAGTATGTTGTTTGATTGATATTTAACTATATTTCATTCTGTAGCTTGAGCTATATTTGTCCTTGTATGTTTTAGTTGCTAGTCTCTATAGAGTTCCCAGGCTATTGTAGTTATTTTTTTAATTAAAAGTTTTTTTAATATACAACTTATTAAAATTTCGATTTCTCAGGGATTATTCGACCGATTTTGCTCAAATTTTGTATTCTACCATATAAAATTACATTCTTTAAACATTATTATTAATATTTTATTATTATTAGTTATTATTAATATTAATTATTATTAATAGTACATAATTATCTTTAATTAGTTATAATTATTATTAATTCACTTACAAAGCTCTCGGCATACGACAAAATAAGCAGAAAGTACAGTTAACATTATAATTATCCAAACTTCGGATCTCTCTCCTGACCATATTTCCCAGATTGCGGCTACCCACTATAAGGGGGTCAGATATCGGAATCCATTATTAAAAAGGTATGCTTTTTAGAAAATATGTTTATTTTGTCTGATTTCAAATATTAAAATATTGTCTGTGCTAATTAATTTGCAATTATTCTAAAAACAGTTCATGGTGTCAGCTTTTGTTGTCAGTGTACCCTTCCTGTAAACAGACAACTTTCATAAATTGGACAATATTTTTGATCTCACGAGTGCGAGTGTCTGCTTAATTGAGGTTTCACTGTATATATTAGATATGTTTGTGTAATTTTAAGCTCAAAAACTATTTTGTTTTAGGTATTGCTTCTAATGATTCTTCTGTAAAGATAATTTCAATTCCTTCTACATCATGTACTGCTGGAAAAAAAGTGAAAGAAGAGAAGCTATCTGATACAGAGGATACTTCGAAGTCAAAAGGTAGCAAAAAAAGTTCACCAAAATCCAGGAAGTGGAGGGGAGTGGAATACCCTACTTCTGATGATTCAGGTGATGATAAGAACAAATCCCACCGTGCAAAGCATTCAAATGAATCAGAGGAAAATCAATCTAAAGCCCGCTGCAAAAAAGAATGTAGTTCTAAATCTATTAAAAAGGAGGATTTCGAAGATGAAGAGCAGAAATATACTCCTGGATTATCAGCTGCTTTTGGAAATTTTCATTGTCAAGTAAAAATATTTTCTGTTTTAAAACCGATATACATACAGTAGAGTTCCGATTATCCGAGTTAATGCGGACCACGACCCCCGTGGCAGAATCGCAGCGACATTGTCGCAGAACATTACGGAGTTCTTGCAGAAAGATTTTTCTTTTGAAAAGTTTTTTTTTTTTTTTTAATTTTTTTTCTCTTTTCTATAGAAATTTACACGTAATATTTGAATCATGCATTTAGATAATCTTTTTTTGGCTTGCTCACTTTATGACGATAGAATCGTTAATCGATGTAACGTTTCGATCGTATTTTTCGCAGTTATTAATATTGATTTTCACACGGAATTTAAATATCCCGATATATTTCAAACAATACAAAAAATTCGAACCGTGCATTTGAGAATTTACTTTTTAAGGAAATAATTCTATTGAATTTTCGGCAGTTATTTCTATTGATTTTTCCATAGTTTTTAAATCCGATATTTTTTATGCGATATTATTTATTACAACAAAGTAGTTTTGTGATTTCGTCTTCGATCTTTTTTCGGCAATTACTACTACGGATTTCATGATTTTTTTCGTTTAATTTTTTATTGTGGTAATTATTTACAATGTGCGAAAGAAATAATTTGTGTCCTCCCCTGCAAAATGCGAGAATATGACCTATTATATTAGAATAAAGAATTATTACATGTTTTATTAAAATATGTATATATAAAGTTTTTTTTTGTAATCACAGCGCTTTTGTTATTTTAAATTTGTAACACATATGTTTGTTATTATTAAAAGTACCTTGCAGAAAGATATTAGTGATAGAGAGTTTTGTCGCAGATAGCTCAAAAAAATTCTGCCACAGGGACCACGACTAACTCTTGGACCGAAAAACTCTTAAAGCAAATAGTATGTATAAATGTAATATATTTAATAAATACAAAATTTATACGAGTACACCAATTCAATTCATATTACAATTAAAAAGCTTACTTACAAACACTTAAAGAGCATAATTTACAAGAATGAAACAGTTTTTACTTAAGAAAGTCCTTATTTATTTTTTGTTTCACATTACTTTGGCGCTTTTCTGCAGTAATGTTTCATCATTTTTTAAGGATAACAGGAAGGCTGGTGTCTCCTCTTCTTTTTCTATATATTTAATAGCACTTTTGATAGCTTTTAGTCCATCTGTATAAGAGATTTTTGTGCATTGATTTTCATTATCAATGTATTCCTCATCTTCACTAGATTTATTTTATAATCTTAAATATATATATTTANATATATAATGTGTGTGTGTCATTTTTCAGTATGGTTATATTACAAGATGAAGTATGTTATTAAAGTGCAGAACTAGAAAATCTAGTTCATTTTAGTACATAAAACAATTTGATTATTACAAATGAAAAGGTTACGTCTTCATTGAATGAAGTTATGTTTGTGCTAATAATTTTAAAGTAATTGCATAGTGATGTTTATTTATTAGTTCGAATAAAATTCTCGCTGTTAAAGATTTTGGATATTTCTTTTCTTAAATTATATTGTAAAGAAAAGAAATATTGATTTCATTAATATAATTGATCAAATAGTTCCTTTAAAATTCTCAGTTCTCAGGAGCTATTCATTCAATTTTGCGCAATTTCACCATTTAAAATTGCATTTTATTAAATAAGGTAAAAAATTGTATACCTAACAATTCAAAAAATTTCGACTATTATTAAATAAAATAAGAAATATTTACCTAAGGTTATATTTTGCATGGAATTATAGGAAAAATGAGTTTAATAATTGTGTGCAAATTTTTTTTAATTCGCTTAATAAGTTCTCAAGATAAGGCATTATTAATAATTTTGTGTATTATTAATAATATTAATAATACACAGGTGAAATAACCCCTATATTTTGAGGGTCAGAAATCCAAATTTGTTGAAAAAAGGTATGTTTATTCTGAGAAAATGTGTTATTATATTTGACTTCATAACTTAAAATATTGTCTGCTCTAATTAATTAGTATATTTGAGATCACCAGCTCAAAACATTAAGATTGAGTCCTAGAATATGAAGATCCGATCATTAGATCGAAAGTTATTCATGGTGGTCCATTTTTTATTTTGTGCACTGTACACTATATATAAGTAGTATTAAAATAAAACAGTCTACCTCCACCTCTAATGACCTAATCATATTAATAATGTTATTAATGAATTAATTTAATTATGTAATTAAAGATAAATTAAGGTCAAAAGTTGTCTATTGTTTAATTATGTTAAATGTGCATTATGTTTGCTATATGCATTATATCTTAAGTATAAATATTAATGAGGTGCTATTCTGAATTTTATATTTTTAATTTTAGTTTCTTATAATTTTTTTCTGTGTTCAGTGTAATCAATTTTGTTCAGTATATAAGTTTTTATTTAGGATTCTTATATTTTTAAAATAGAATTTTTATTTTTTAGAAAAAATGTTTTAACATAATAAAGTCAAAATTCATTTAAAATATTTTCAAGGTTCATTATTTTACATTATTACTGTGTTTTATGTGTATTGTTATAATGTTTTATTTGTGCTTAAAGTTACATTAAGTTAATATAAATTACTAAAAGTATTTTATTCGTTATTTATTATTAAAGCAATATTTAACATTAAATCAATTTGCTACTTCACTCTTAATATATCAGCCTGTTAATTTATATCTATAAATGCGAGATATATATCTATTTATTTATATCTATTAATTTATGTCTATAAATTTGAGATTTTTTGACTTTTTCATCATTTCACTATTTTCAAGCATTTTTTTTTTTACTTGCAAACCTTTAGCAATTTATGCTCTATATTTATAAATTTTATATTCATATCTTAAAATACAAATATTTATTTTATGAAATTACTTTATAGTAATCCTTTTAAATTGTATGCTGATAAATAATGATTTTAAATAATGCTTAAGTATGACAGTCTATGTTTTAAGCTTTTATGTACCTTTTCTCAAAAATTTTCGAAAGTTTTTTTTTTTTCGTTTTTATTTTTATAGTAAAGCTTTTTTTTCTTCAAATTTCTTGAATTATAGCATTTTTTTAAAAAAACAGTTAGTGAAAATAAGCATATGAAGAATTTATAGATATAATTTAGTATTTACTGATAATGTTCATCAAAGCTGCCATTTTTTTTCAAAAAGAGAAAAAAACTCTGCATGTAATGCTAACATACTGTAAGAAACTTATAAAGGTTGATATATTTTTTTTTTGTATTTCGTCTATAATTTATCTACTTATTTTTAATCCCTTTTATGGAGTGCAAACCCTGAGTTAATAGTATATATTACAACTAATATGTGTGTAGTGGTAAATAATACCTGTATTATTAGTATTTAAGAATTTAAAGAAACATATATTTTATAGTTCAGCATTTGTTTCCAATAGCTTATATTAAGGTAATAACATTTCTTTATAAGTGTTTTCTTTTATTTCGTATTTAAATAAATATCTAAAATCCTTTATTTCAGGTTTGTGATATCGTTGTTAATAGTGAAGTGACATATCAAACTCATTTACAAGGAAAAAAACATCAGAAGGTAACAAAAAAAAAATCTTTTAATCTGTAAGCAATCAATAATTTTACTTATACTAATTTGTACTTACATTATCAGCACAGGAGTCATTTACATAGTTTGGGAACGGAGGTTGAAGATGTTCAGTATACAAAATATATAGGTTAAATTCAATTAATTGTTTTATTGTCTTCAGTGGAAAAATAGCCTATAGTAGAATAAATTACTCTCTATTAAATGATAAATAAAGAGACCTTGTAATTCTTGGTCATGGCTTTCTATCTCATCCCAGATTTGTGGCATAGCTGTATTTTTTATTTAAAATGACAAAGATTGCAATTTGTTTTGCGTTTTAAATGAAATGTAGCATTTTCTAGTAGCTGGCATCCGAGAGAGAATTGGTAAAAGAATTATGTTTCTTTTTACAAAAGTGTGCAAAATTTAAAAGAAAAAAATACTTTTTGTAGACAAATTAATTCAAATTAATATATATTATGTTAATTAATATTCTTTGAAAAATTTTTCCCTTATGCATAAGTAGTGTAAATCATACATTTTTAAATTTGTCTTTTGCTTTTTTAAAAAGTAGTCTTATGTAAGTAGTACTCTGTTTCAAAAACTGTCCTCGCTATTTTCACTGGCATGAGATTCTTCCAATTTTGTCAGAATTTTCAACTTTCTAAATTTTACAGCAAATTAAATTTCTAAACTTCATTATTATTTTATTCTCTTAATCATGATTTACATAAAAAGCTCAACAGTTTGTTGAATTTGCAATGTACACATATATACTGAAAATTAAACTTAAAATAATTTAAATGTTTTTTCTTTTTTGTGCAAAAATGTTTCACGCACTTTATTTTTTTCATGATTTGAGTTGATAGGCATTTTTAGACTTTTTGTTCTTTTCCATTCTCTTGACTGTTTAGAGAAATGCTGTCCTGCTTTTTTCTTTGCCCCACCCTGAGGCCTGTATTTATGCTTGGTGCTAGTGATATCTTTCTTCTAGCATAAATCTGCCACTTTATCAATTGTCATATCTATGCTTTTGTAGTTATCCTTATATTCTCTAGCAGCAAAATAACTTGGGCCCTCATTTGAATGATATTAAAAAATATTCTTGATGCAATAAGAGTAAAATGGGTCGATATTTTTTCGATATTGACCCTATATAGAATTGTTCGATTAACTAAATATTTTATCTTCTTTATTTAGCAATTATTGGCTTTTTGTAGAATTGTCCATTTTACCCGATGTTTTGCAGCCACTCTTTAAACAATATCAACCCCATATAGAATTGTTATTGCTCATATAGAAACACAATTCTAAGACAAATATTAAAAAATCCAGTCATCCTAATATTTATTCGTAAGTGCATGTTCTTATCGAACCTATGTTGAGCTAATTTTGAGCCCAACTGAGGCCAAAGTAAAATTGAGTAAAATTGCAAGGGATATTATCCAATGAATATTATAAAAAATTTATAAATGCTTCAAAATGTTAAGACTTTAAGTAAATCCCTATTGATTATCGTTGTATACAGCATGAACATTTATTTACATCCATGTTTATAATCATATTTAAATTTGAAAAAAAAAAAACTAAATGTATAATTTTTTTGCTGATTAAATTATATATTTTACAGTGTATTTAATTTTTCATTGTCTAGGCTCTGAAAGCTAAAGCCATTCCAGAAGTGGCAATGCAATCTTTAAATGAGGTATGATATTTAACTAATAATAATAATTAAGTTCTTTAACTTGAGGCAGTCTGCTTAGTAAAGAAACTTTTGTAAAAATTTGTATAAGTAGCAAATTAGGTAATGAAAAAGTAAATTGGTTTTGTAGAATGATTGTTATTATTTTTTATTATTTTTATTATCTAGCGTTAATTTAGTAAACTTGTAAAAATTGATCTCTCAATATTTTTTTTCATTCCTAATAAAGTATCCGAAATAAAATAAAAAACTTTTCAACTTGTTCTTTAACAGCAAAATGTTATGAATTAGTCATTACAACTTTTTAAATTGTCATTGAAGTAAAAAGAAAATAATAAAATAATTATTTTAGCTGTTATTTTTTTTAAATCTCATTTTTTTAATGCTATAATAAATCTAATTTCAGCACTTAAAAGAGTTCTAATTAGTAATATTAATTTAATTTTTTTAGTTTGTTTTGTTAACATTTTATATGAATGTCTAGTTTTAAAAAAAGTTATAATTTCAGCCTCGATTACCGCCCCCTCTAGTTGGAGTTTCTAATGCTTGTAAGTTCCTTTACATTTATTTATTTACTAACTTGAGTAATTTTTAATATTTGTTATTTTATTAAGCTTTTATATTAAACTGAAAACTAATCCATTTAAATGTTAAGTTAAATATTCAGGATCAAAAATAACTTTCTTGATCTCCAAAAATGTGAAGCATTTTACCACGAAAATCATAAAATTATATGTGTTATGGAGAATTTTAAATTTTTAACCTAGAAATAAGATAGTCAGGTCAGTTTTTTCTGCAGAGTTATGCAGAGATGATTGTGCTCCTGATTTTTCGCTAACCGCAATCCAAAAGTTTCCGGAAATCCAAGACCCAGAAGTTCCACGTAATCGTCGATCTGATTTATGTATTAAAATTCTTGTTTGTTTTATTTACAAATATTAAAACTAGAATTTATACTTGGCATCTCTCTTTATTTATAAATATTTTTTCTGGTAGAATAATAAATGTGATTAGAGATAAAAGTAAGCTTATACATAATTATTCATTTAAATTATGCTGCATATAATTTATTTAGAATTTCATGTTTTGAAGTATCAATGATTTAAATTTATAAAGACATTAATTTTTTGAAATGCGTCATTAAAATTATTTGACTCTAGAAATTTTCATGATTTTTGAGTTGGGCTCACAATCACCCTTGCATATATTTTGTTCAATTACGCATTTGTTGTTGTTGTTGTCGTGTCTATGCTAGTGCAAAGATTTGAGTCCTCCAAAAGTCTTGATAACAATGTTTGCAAGTTCTGGAGCCTGATGGCTATGGAGAATTTCGATGGGAGGTGCTCCAAGTTGAAAGAGGGAGCCGATAATAGCCTGGCAGTCAAAAACATGGTCTGGAGTTAGTTGCAAATGAGGACAGTACTTGCACATGGGATAGAATTTTATATGGGTGCGTGAGATCTTCATGCCCTTGAAATTTCTTGGGCAGTTTAGATCGGGAATTGTTGCCTTGCTAAAAAGCTGGTTGTTTATCCTTCGTCTGGCGACAGCATTCGCATCTGCACAGGTGACAGCTCGAGGTTGATCTTCGTCACGTGCTTCCTTTGCAAGGGCATCTGCACATTTGTTTCCCTCGATTCCAACATGAGCTGGGATCCAGTAGAGAGTGCAACGGATATTTAATGAATGAAGAAGGGTATTAATTTCATGCGTTATTGATGTATTACCATTACGTATTGCTTCGAGTGCTGATTTTAAGACTGAGAAAATCAGGATTTCTTTTATTGAGTCTTTTAGAGATTGGGAGTGACAATAGGCAAGAGCCTCTTTAATAGCGATTAATTCGCTGGTGAAGTTCGAAGCAATTTGGCCAGTGGGTATTTTGAGTTTGACGTCATTTCCTGAGGGGTAAGTGATGGAGATGCCAGCACCACCTCTATTACAGTCAATATCAGAGGAACCATCTGTGTAGACTATTACGCTGTTTTCCCTGGAAAGTGAACGAGCAGTGTCTTCACCTTTTTGTAATAATACTCGGGTTGGTTCCTTCTTTGAGAATGGTTCAAGTAGGTTAGTATTGATTTTAGTATACATAGGGGGCTTGGAAGGAAAGAGAGGCTCTTGAATAATGTCCAGAGATGAGTGGTCAAGACAGACGGCCTCACTGATGTCTCTGTCAAATTGCAGCGGTGATGATCTCTGAAGCCTTGACCTGCCTGTCCAAGTATCAATAACTCTGTGAGCAATGTGGTCTCTATTGTGGCTTCTGATTTTGTTGGTGAATTTTAGAGTGGCAAGTTTCCGTCTGTTTTCAAGGGAAACACGACCGCTTTCAAGTTCCGCCTTGATGTTGAGGAAGCTTGGAGGAAGAGGTTGCTTTAAGAGAAATTATTTTTCAAAAAATGAAGTTTAATTTTAGTTAACATTTTATTGAGTCAGGTTGGTTTACTCAAGGTGACAATTGTTGAGCTATATGTAAATAAATATTATGATCTTTTAACCATTGGCAAGATTCAGTTGAAACTTGTCAATGATATAATGACTATTTCTTTTAATTCTTCGTTCTTGTTCAAGTTTCAGTAAAATTACCAGAATATAACGTTTCTGAGTGTACATCGATAATTTAGCAGCACTAATTTTTATCTTTTCAAGCATTGTGAATCTCATTTTTGAGGGGTTGTATTAAAGATATAGTTTACTAATTTTATTAAAGATATAGCACTAATTTTATCTTTTCAAGCATTGTGAATCTCATTTTTGAGGGGTTGTATTGAAGATATAGTTTACACAACTAACCCTGTCACTTTCTAATAGGCATATCATATTTCTTAAAAATAAGGAAATTTATGAAGATTAATTTTTAATATTTCATTTAATCTTCTAAAAAATATAATCCACTTAATCTTTTTCTACAATTCCCTTTCCATTTACATAAAATTGGAGAACTGTTATAGGCTTACTTGTTGTGTTTTATGAATTTCTTAACATTTCTAGTTATCTTTTTTAAGAAGTATCAAAACTATTGCTGATCTCAACAATGCCATACATCTAAGTCTTATGTATGATCTTATTAAGATCATTGAAAGTATTGATGTCTTGACAGCGAGTTCTGCTTATCATCAGTGCTATATCATCGCAGATAAATGCTGAGTATAATAAAAATGTCATAAACTAACTCAGAATATTTGTAGTTATTTTAAAATTTGCATAAAATATTTGAACTTACTAGTTTTTTTTCTTTTTATATAATAGCTCAATAATTGTCATCCTGTATTTACAAGCTAAACATTTTTTTAGTAAATATTAGTGTTAAATGCTCACTAAAAGAGGTTTCATTTGTAAGTTTCAGATGTATTTAATTAAGTACTTTTAAACTTCTTTATCATGCATGATAATTTACAAAAACTTTTATGGTTTTTGATAGCTTTAAGAAGAGATAGACGAATACCACTCAGAGTGGAATCTTTGATACAATTGGTTGCTGAGAGTTACAGTGAAGGTCCACTTCCAGGTATAATGTTTCCAATGTTCATGTGCTTCATTAAAACATACTTCTAGCAGAATTTTCCCTATGAATTGAAAAGGGCAGGGTGCTTTCTCATAGAAAAGGTCCTCACTGACCACCGTTAAAATTTATCAAAATGTGTAATATTATATAATAACTGAATTTCATACTCAATTAAGTTACACCTTTATACTATTTCATGTGTATGCTTCTCAAAGTAATTCCCATTTATTTTCGAAATAACAGGAAAATTTTAAGCTTTGAAAAAATAATTAAAGGTAAACTAAAAAGACACTCTCTCTGTCTCAAATTTTCTTCAAGAAAAATAAATAAATAAATAAGCTTAAAAAAAAGCATTAATTGAATAACATCTTGAGATAGATTGATAATTTGTTTCGTCTGCTTATAATTTCTAAATTTATATTTTAATGTAATTATGTATCAGCATATATTTATATTGTTATATATTTATATTGTTATATATTTATATTATTATATATTTGTATTTTAAATTAATGAATAAAATATACTGTGAAAAAATTCACAGGGATTGTGAAATAACTATAGTCCTAAGTTTTTTTGTTGTTGATGATTTTGACCAGATCTTTATACTTTTTGTCATTAAAATCTTAACCCTGGAAATAGAATTAAGGTGTTTTGATTTTATTTGAAAATATAAACATGTTAGTTATGTGTTAAGCATGATATGAAAGAATGTTTAACTTATTTGAAGCGTTTGTTCCTCCAGATAAAATTAACTTCAGCACACTTATATAAATTGATGTGAAATTAGAGCAATATTATCTTAAATTCCTTTTTAGTTATCTTGTAGTCTGTTTAAATTAAACAATTTCATTATATATATATATATATATATATATATACACTTTTGCAGTTTAATGCTAGCGCAAGAAGATCAGGTGTACATTCAGCATGACCTTAAACCTTAACCTAAGTTGGAACAAGTTATTCTAATTCNTAACTGTATTACTTCATCGTTTTTTCTTCTTTTTAAGATTATTTCCAAATATATATTTTTCAGTTGGGTTTAACAATAAAAAAAACGGCTTTTTGTAGAGATTCAGAAAACCGGAAAAATAGCGATGGTCCCGATCGTTCCGGATAATCGGTTCCCTACTGTATATATATATGTGTGTGTGTGTTTTCTATTTTATCTAAACTAACTATAATCTTTAGAGGAAAAAATATTTAACTTCTTGACATCTATCTTCTTAAAGTTTCAATGTTACTATCATCATTTAAAAATTCTTATAATTTCATTTCTGGAAATTTGAATAATATTTTTGAAATATCATGAATTAAGTTGAGAGCTTAAATGAAAGTTTATAAGTGCTTGTAAACTTAGATAAAATAGAAAAAAAAAATTTTTTTTACTGGTTGAATTTTTTTTTTTTTTACAGTTTTGCTTACTGGTTGATATTGATTTAAATTCAGAGATATTTTTACAACTCTAGATACTATATACTGAAGTTTCTCATCATTCTGGAGTTATGGTTATAGTTTTAATACATTAAAAAAATTATGATGCATCTTGATTTGAGTAATTTTATTTAGGATAAATAAAATGATTCAAAGTAGAACTAGTGCAAAGAATTTTTTTAAGAATTACTTTTGTTTCTTTACCATTTTGTGATATTATTTTAAATTTATAAAAATTCAAACTTGTTTTGCAGTGTTACTTTTGTATTAGTTATGTCAAGAGATCTACTTTTTTAATCTGAGAAAAGTAAAACTACAAGCATTGGTGAAAAAAATTTGTTTTTGTGAATTGTTTCAGTTCACATGCTATTCCAGTCTTACTTCCTTCTCTATTTTATTCTTTATCATTTATTTATTTTTTTGTTGGTAAATGGAACATTTTTGTAACTGATTTGAACTTAAATTTTAGGTTTGTCAGAGGTTGTTGAAGTACGCCCCGCCAGTGAAGAAGCTAAAGAAATAGCATATCTTTGTAATTTGTGTGAGGCACAATGTGTACCAAACTCAATAATGAAACATCTAACTGGATTCAAACATTATCTAAGATGTTTGGTATGATAACGGTTGATAGTTTTATAATTAAAGTGTATTTATCTGTTAAATTTTTAATATGTTTGTTTATTATCTAAAAATGTAATAAAGTAACAAAAAAAAAAGATAATTGAAGGTAACCTTTGCTTAACTTTTTTTCCGAAGAAAGGTGAAAAATGAGCTTTCAGGTGCTATGAATTTGTGACAATAATTTAATTAATCCTGATTGTGACAAAACTGCTTTGTTTTATTTTAAATTTAAATTAAAAGTTCTTATATTTTTTAATTAAAATTTTGAAGTTCTGCACAATTTGTCTTTTCTAAAAACTTAATATATATCAGATTTTTAGCTTCACACACTCAATTTTGTAATTTTAACTATATACAAATCACATGAATCTTTACTTTTTAAATAAAATTTAGAACTATATTAGTTTTAAACATGTAATTCTTTTAAAAAAATTAAACATCTAAAATGTTAAAAGATAAAATGTTTTGATACGCTGAGTTTAAAATTTTTTAAATATAGTAATAAAAAATAGTTTGGAAATTTAATGTTAGTTTTTTCAGTTTTCTTCTTCTGAAAGGTTTTTTCAGTTTTTTTTTACAAAACTTATTGAAATTAGAAAACAGATGTGAAGATTCTTTTTTAAAATTAAATTTGAACTGAAAATTAGGAAGTCCCAAGTTGTGCATCTTTTATTTAAAATATTAATATCTTTTTAGACGATAAGTTTCACTTTAGACATTAAAGATATTTACATAATAAGTGATTTGTTTCACTATGTTTAAATTAAATTACTGTCAAGTGTAAAGTTAAACAGTTTAAGAACAAGCAGTAAAATTCTATTAATATGGAAATATGTTTGTTCCATATCATTAAATAATCTATTTTTGACCCAGAATGCTTGTTTGTTAGCAACTGTTTTAAGTAAATATAAATTTAAGAATTAAAATATCTAATAAGTGTAAGTGTTTAAGTGTAAAAATATCTAATGTGTAGAATTTAAGAATTCATTTATAAAATTGTATAAATCTAAATAAAATCTTAAGTTAGTTAGCGAGAGTTAATAAAATCTTTTTAATTCAATTGTGAACATATTCTATTGTAACTTGAAATAAATTTTTTCTATTGTAACTTGAAATAAATTTTTTATCAATTTCTTTTTATTTGGAAAAAATGATTTTTTAGATTTGCGTTAAATAAAGAATATTTTTTTAAACAATTTAATGTTACTTAATTATTTAAATTTATCCTGAACCTTGCACTGTTTTTTTTTTTATATTAGTTTTTCTCAATTTGAAATTTTTCAATTGTAAAAATTTTAAATAAATGCTTCAAAGTGAAATTTGTTAAAAAAAAAAAGATAATAAATTTAAGAAATTTTTAAATTTTTTTAAACTTAAAAATTGCTCAGATTTTAATGAAAATTTTATAAAATAAAAAAAGTACCTAGGTATACAATATTTTTCTCCATGGTTATGTTTTCGTCATGTCCATTTGTTTGAAAATCTAATATAGCAAAAATATTGTGAATTTAATAAAAATTATTATTTATAAATATATCATATTCTTTTAAAATTATCTATATTTCCAAGTGTTTAATTTTTGTGCCAGAGAAGATTGCGTCTGATCAGTCTAATTAACGTGTTATTGTTAGAATTATTTAATCGGATTATTAATGCTTTTTGATATTTTTATATGTTAAGGAATATATTTTACCTATTTTATATCTATTGCCCAGACTAATCTTATTAGAGTGTAAATATCAGAATTATTATATCAAGATTATTAAATGTTTTTTCTTAATATATATATATTTATTTTCAAACAATAAAGAAACATATCTTGATAGATTTCATGTTTTGTTGGGAAATAGTCAAATTAGATTGTAGTAAATGCTTTTTGACATTTTAAAAATGGGAAGGAACATATCTTGTCTGATTTTATATTTAGACAAGCTTTCAACTTCTACAGATGTGAATGTGCATATTTATAGAAAATGACTTATGTTTTTGTTTTCACTGCTTGAAAGCAGTATTTCTTCCTTCAAAAACCATTGTTTAACCTAGCGATTATACTTGTATAGAGGAGGCTAAATGCCCCAAGTTTTAGATAAGAGTTATCTAAGAATTGTTAGTTTGGTTAACATGTACATACTATGTTTATATTCTTATCAGAGCAGTGTTATAACTTTTTTTATTCACTGTTTTCAACCAATGTATTGTTGATTAAAAGTAAAAAAATTTGTAAAAATTTATTTAGGAAACAATCGACACCATAAGTTATGAAAAATATCGCTTCAGTCCGAAGAAAGTAATTGAGGGGAGAGTCAGAAGGATTTTATTGGATTATGAAAGAAGACGAGGTCGTGGAATAATTCGTGTTGAGCAAGAAGTAGATGATCTATGCTCAATGAGTAAATTATCTTTTATTTCATAATTTAATACTATGCATGGGTAGAGAGATTACATTTTTAAAACTGCCTGGATTTTTTTCTCTGATTTCCACCATAAAATGTAAAATTGATACTGCAATAAGTTATAACTTTACTGTGATTAGTTTCTCTTTACTTTGTAAAAATCTGAGAAACTCTTAATACAAAATATTTAATTATTTCAAATTTAATTTAAACCAAAGGACATCTAGCTCATTTTCTGATGTAAGAATACATAGTTGCAAAATATAATTTATCTGCTAATAGTTCTTGTTAGGGTTAATTTAAGCTACATGTTGCAAAAAGAAGCTTTTTCAATTTAAATATATTACTCAAAAATTAATTACCCTATCAATGACATTTTTATATCAGAATGCTCCTTACCATTTTAACTTACTATTATAATTATTTTTTAATATAAAAAAAAGCTGTTATGTTGCTTTGCATTCCATATTATCCTGAAATTTTGTTTCGGCTTATAGAAACTTTGCACTTTCGTAGACTGTTGTATGTATGAATATATGTTTTTTCATGGATTTTTTAATTCTATGTAAAAAAGAAATAAATGTATTTTTCAATTATTAATTGATTTGCCCCTCTAACCTAGACAGGTTAGGTTATCATATATGTTAGTATCAAATATTTTACTTAAATACATTTTAATTTCAAAAACTGATTTAAATGAAAAAAAAAATCTTCTTTAAGTTATAAGAATATGAATAAAATGAAAACAAATTTGATTCAAATGAGAAATATCTAATCAGAAAAAAAAAGAAATCTGATATAAGTTTTGAAAAAAAAATCCAATTTTTTAGATTTTCTACGAAAATTATTATTTTTATCAAGTCTGGTTAAATTGTTAAAATAACTTTGGGATTAAAATAGTTATTTTAATTTTTATGGGGTTGCCTTCTTCAATCCTACGATGCCAAAAACTTTTTCTTTTAATTTTTATGTTAAGTTTATTTTATTTGATTAGTTTAGCTCTATTTGATTAGTTTCAAAATTACATTTGTTTTGGTATATTGCTTTTTTTCTTTTGTGAATTTAAATTTTATATTTAGCCATCCATAACCTTTTTTTTACCGTTGAAATATCAGAAATAACTATTTTGGACAGTTGAGTAGCTTATGATACAAATGTCTGTAAATTGCAGTGTATCAACCAATATGTCATTTAATTTAAATGGTTGTTTTCTCTAGTTTAGATCAATAATCTACAAACTTGTCTCTTTTGCTAAAAGATAAAAATTATTTTGATAATACAACACTTTTTAGTTAATTTTTTTTGTTTGTAAAATTGCTTTCTACAGTTTTTTTTTTATACATATTTTAAGGTGGTGAACCAGGACCAAGCTGGAAGTAAGCAAAAAAATTATTTTATATTTCTTTTTGTTACTTTATTTATACTAATAGTTTTATTGCGTTATTATTTGTAAAATGCACAATTATTAAGCGAGGTATAATTATTCGTCTTTTTCTACTTAAATTTCTTTCTGAGTCTGGTTTCTGTGCTTCCTAATTTGCAGACTTTCCATTTTTGTAAGTTTTGCTTAAAACATTGTGATGCATATAATTTGTTAAAATTTATGCTCTCAAAGCAGTTGTTCTAAACATAGGTAATTTATTGTTTGAAATGGCAAATTTTAATTGCAGTTTAATTTTTTCTTTTTTCTTTCATTTTTTTTAATGTAATGCATTAAAGAAGAAACTTATTTTTAAAACTTTTAACAATTAGGAAGCAATTTTATTTTTAATGCATTACTTGTGACTCATTTTGAACAATTATTTTTAAATTTTTTATTTCAATTAATGCAATTTAATTGGATTTCTGGATTTTAATTATGTTAAAAAACTTTAAGTTCAGTAACATCAGAAATACCCTATAAAAAATATGTCCTTGTTTTGTATCATATTGACACAGCTAATCAATTTATAATAATTTAGTCAATCTACTTTGTTTTAATCCATTTTTTTTATTTGTATTAGATCATTTTCATCTTGTAGTATTTATTTAATATACAAAAAATTTAAAAATTTGATGTTTTTGAAATTAAGATTTTATCTATGAATGTGAAGTATTCCATTAGTCCGTCATATTTCCAAACAAATAACAATAAAATAAATAAATAAAAAGTTCTGTATTTTATTACAATCTATGTATGTTTTACCATGGATTTATTTAAATGTTTTTAACTAGTTTTGCAGATTATATGGAGTTTTCTTTTGAAATATTATAATTATGTTTGTAAGGGGACATATCAGAAAATATTTTAATTGTAAATTCCTGTATCTTATTATTTTACTTTTTTATTTCAGAAATATTGGATCTGTGCCTTCCACAGCTGCAAGTGCCGATGTAAGCATTGGAAAATTTTATTTTAAAAATAATTGGTTGTAACAACCAAATTCTATATTTCTCAGTGAATTTTATGATTAATTTTTATTTTAAAAATTTTCAAATTTATGTTTTTATGTATGTTATATCATTTTATGGTCTTTCTCTAACTGGCCATTGGTAATAATATGATATATATATATAATATACATTTAAAGTTTTCTTTAGGTCAGGGAAACCTGACCTCAGGAAATAATATTATATTTTCAGAAGTTAAAAGAAGTTTGGGAAAAAAAGTCATGCAATATTGCTTATCTTATATATCATTGTAATGAGCATTTTGAAAATGAAGTTGAAAATTTATAAATCATTCTGTTTAATATATTTCTTGTAAAAATCCACTTCAATATAGTTTAATTTTGTTAGTTTTAAAAATCGAACCATTAAAAGTAATAATTAAGAAATTTTAGTGATTGGTTTAAGGACCAATAAATAAAAAGATTACATTAGTCTGTGTGTAATTTTCCTGATCTATGTATCTATTAGATTAAAGAAATTTCTTTAAAATTTATAAAATATTATTAGCATGGTAAATATAATTAGATTTTTGTAAACAAATTACATAGGTGAATGAAGCTTTATGTAGTTCAAAATTTTATTATGTTTTAATAAACAAGTTTAATGTTAAAAAATTTATAATTTTGGAGCATGACTTTAAATATTTTGAGTAAAAAAAAATATTAAAATGAAATTAGATGAAAAATCTCACCTTTGTTAGATTACTACAGAGAGAAAAATCGACGTACTAACCCTTCTCATTAATTGATTTCAATCAATTGCTGGTCCGAGAGACCACTGATTCTTATTTCATGAAGGTCTGATTAAAACTTTAGTTGTCCCAAACCGTTGCACTACCATTAATTTTCAACCCTAACCATATTTGTTCTTTAAAAATACTATTCGCTTAGCCGATAATAATAAATGTTTTTTAAAATGAAATTTTCTGTCCAAATTAATTTAGTTATTCAACACCACTGAGATGTATGAAATAAAAGCAAGCATTCTCAAATTGTTTCAAAAATCATTTTGCAAAGTGCAGTTTTTACCATTTTTTCAATTCCATTGTCCATTTGAAAAATCTTGTGATTTTTTTGTTTTTAAGTTTGTCTGAATTCGCCTGTAAAAATCTTATTTATTAATTCAGAGAAATACATCATCATAGTTGACCAAACAGCCCAATGTGGGCCAATGCCTTCTTCTGAAGATTTCTCCCTAATGTCTTCAGATTTATCTTTGATCTCCAATTCTTTTCATTAATTGCAAGGAAATAAGACTCCATTGAATCAGCTCATCTCAACTGCGTCCTTCCCGGCTTTCTTGTTCCAATGGGTCTAAAAAGCAATATTTTTTTGAAAATTGTATTGTCACAACTCATTTAAATCACATGTTCCATCCAATAAATTTTTTTGTATTTAACAATATCAGGTTGTCTTGTACAGTTCAAAGTTAAATCTCCTTTTCCAGTTATTGTTTTCATTTTACACCACAAAGTACACTCCGCAAAATCTTTCTCTCAAATATTGCGATACATTTGTATTCTCAGAAGAATACAGTTCATATAAAATTATTCCTTTTAGAAGGTTTTTTCTTTTTTAACTGCCTACGGTTCTTTGAAAAATAATATTGTGAAATTATAAAATATTGTCTTATTTTATATATTTATAGTATGCTCATTGAAAATTTTACAATCAAACTAATAGTTCAACTGTAAAACATGTTTTGTTATTTTTATTATGTTTTGGTAATTAATTTAGTTCTATTTATTTATAGGGCTTTGATGATTCTGAATTTGGTAAATTCCAATTTTATTTTATCTGTTTTTATTGTTATGATATGTTTCTAAATTTTCTCATGTAAAAAGTTTTTATCACATTATCTAAAAATCATAAATTTTCTCATGCAAAAAGTTTTTATCACAATATCGAAAAATCATAAATTTTCTCGTGTAAAAGTTTTCATCACAATATCGAAAAATCAAAAACCATTCCCAATTACTGTAAATGAGATTTATGCTGATACTAGTTAAAAATTAAAATTACTATTTTTATTGCTTTGCAATTTTTATTTTTTGTTGTTTAGTATAATTTTTTTAAGGCTATCAAAATTAAGTTTTCGGCCATAAACAGTTCTTAGCATTGCCTAGCATTCTTAGCTTAGCATTGCCTAGAAAATTTGTTTCTGAAACTATTCAAACTTAAAATAAAAGTTTTGTGCAAGAGATTTTTTTTACATTAATCTTATTGTTTTGAATTAGCATCGTTCATTTTTTTAAACTTTTAATTCTACTCTGTTATTACTTACAAAACCTCTTCTTTCTTTTTTTTTGCTGAAATTCTGCAATATTGCAAAAGAAATTTTTATAAAAAATTATATAGTGTTATAAACGTTTTTCATAATATTATTAATTATTTTTCTTTTGCAAATTATACTCCTGTTTTGTTTATCAAGTTGCATGAAATTATTGATTTGTGTGTTTGTCTTTAGTTTCAGCTATGGAACATTTAGATACCTCAATGAGTGACTTTCATTGTAGAGTAAGGAAATTTTGTAATTTTTATTTATGTCTATCCGCAAGTAGATAAATGAAAAAAATTTTATTATTTTAAATGTATGTTTTAAGATATATATGTATTACTTTCCTTTTTCTTTTATCTATTTGGTTTTTGTATTAAAAGCATTTCATATATATGACCAACTAACATAAAGCTTGTAGTTACATTTATATCACTAGTCATTCAACTATCATGCCTTAATAGAAAGGTTGTTCACTAAGTCCCTAGAAAAAGTTTTTTTTTTTTTTCTTAAAAGAAAAGCACATTATTTTGGGTAATTTTTATTTTAGTTTTAAACATTATTCTCTTTTAGTTAGAAAATTTCTTTAGCTTTTCCTAACAAGAAAGTTTTAAGAAAACCCTTAAAATAGGCATCTGTTTTGGCATTGATTTTCTCAAGCTATTTTTTCAAGTTAGGGAATAAAAAAATATGTGTAAAGTTAAATAGAAATCCTGTTAATATGGTGGGAATGGTTACTAATTTGAATTGTAATTCCGTAATTTTTGCTATTGAAACTTCAAGTGTGCACTTAAATATCTTGGTAAAAAAAAAATTTCTCTGCCAAATGAAGAGTCTTCATCTTGATTTCTTCTCTACACAAGTGTCTAATGTATAATATAATTCTCTCCATTTATTGCTTGTTTTTTCTTTCTTCAAGTGATTGATGTAAATCAGAATTTCTTAAACTGTCAGTCCTAACCCCAATTGGGATCTCTAGACCAGCAGCAAGAAATGCTAAAATTCTTACCAATTTTAATATTTTTTTTAATAGTACTTATTTTAATAATTTTTGCGGCAGTGAAACCTCTAGGAAAGATCACCCCTGTGTAGTAACCTCCTCTATTTACAGCCACTTTTGAGAGGCATAAAATTTAAAAAATTTCCATAGACTTTGTGTTGAAGAAAACCTTTAGGAGAGACCATCAAAACGTCTCACAGCGACCCGGCATATCTCTGTGTCAATTGCGGAAAAGGTCAAATAAGGAAACACGAAAATGTATCAAAATAAAAAGAATTAACATAACAAATAAGTAGATTAAAATGTATTCAAAATATTTGTGAGTGGCTCTTATTTAGAAAGCTCTTTTTCATGAAAGAAATTGACAACCTCACAGTCAAAGTGCACTAAAGACGATGCTTATTAATGATTTAGTTTTTGAGTTAAAAGTTAAATTAGAAAAAACTGAGCATCTCAAACAAACAAACCTCTCATTTTTAAAGTAAACTACAGGGTGCGTAGTGTCTTTAAAAAGTGCTTATTTTTTTATTTAAGTTTTTTAAAAGCCCTTAAATGTGCTTTTTTTATTTGGTGTTTGTAAAAATGAGAGAATGAGTGTCATACTTGCACAATGTTTATATTCTGGAGTCCCACAAATGTTTTTTTTTTTTTTAAGTATGTGGTCCCCACACTAAAATTTTTTAAAACCCCTGATATCGATGATTCGGCATGCACCCCAAAATCTATTTTACTGCCTTTTTTTAAGCTTCATCGCCTTTAAAAACCCACTATTTCAGTCTCATTATCATGCATAGTCCTCTTTTAAGTACAGTTTGCAGAAACTCATTAGATTTGCAACTAAAAAGCGTTCCAAAACAGCCTCCAAAGCATTAACACTAGTTTTTCTCCTCCAGAAAGAGCAAATACGACACTCATCATACTGACTTTCTTTTCAAACTCTATTCTTTTGTGCAAAAAGAAATGCACTATACCCTGTAATATGTCCATGGCTTCAACTTTTTTTCTCACTTTAATTCATCAATTACTCAATATCATATCTCGGCCTTCACAACATTTAAACTTATTTGCACAATTTTAACCAGTCACAACTTCAATAAAAGATTTACCATGAGCATATCCTTACTCTGGTTTGATGTTTTTCAGTGTTAAACTTTCAATAAACACATGAAACTTATTCATTCCCACTATCTTAAATTACTTGAACTTCACGTCTTACTTTTTCTATGACAAAAGTTGGAACTTTAAAAATAGTCATGCCAAAAATGATGCTTTATTAAAATAAACCTTTTTTATTTTTTTTAACCACCATCTATGAGATTTTTAAGGATTTATTAACTAATATAATTTGAGATATTGTTATTGAAAGGAAAAGAATTTTATGCTTCGTAAAAGTTCATCATAGAATTTTTTTTCTGGAATTTCTGTAGAATAATCAATTGAACCTGATGGCTTCAGCTTAAAAATTTAATCTCATTATTCTATCCCACACATAATGCTCTCACCCAAAAGTAATTTTAGCAATTATTTATTTTTTAATTTTATAAAAAATATTTTTTTACTTAATAGATATAATTATTTTTAAATCTTATAAAACCATGTCATTTTGAGTACTACTAATTACAGGATTAAGACAAAATTTATCACTTCCTGAGAAATTGAAGTTTCCAATTCTAACCTACCAATTTAGTTCAAAATTGCATAGTTTTACATGATGTAAAAATATTTTGTATTTTATAATGTATAATTAATGCAAAAATAATTCTTTTATTAGTAAATTATATATTTGAAAATACAAATCACAAAAAACAGTTTTTATTCTCATAGTCTTTGAGCTAGTGAAGTTTATAATTTCCCAAATTTTTTTTTCAATTTTGTCAATTAGTTTCAAGAATATTTGGGAAAAACTGAAAATGTAAAAAAACATTAAAAGGGTTAAAACTTTTAATCGCTGTTCAGTACTATTAGGGCAATACTTTTTAAATTGTGTTTACCTTTCGTATTTTGTAAACCAAAAATGGTATGTCTTTTTTGAAAAAAAGTATGCTTTTGTTTTATATTTGATCTTTTTAAAATTTATCACCTGCACCAATTAACTATTATATTTGAGTTACCATCAAAATAATGTCTTAATGGATATTTTAATCTAATGATTAGATTAGTAAAGCTATTAAGAGATCTCTATCTTTTTTTTTTTACAGTACTTAGAAAGTATTCTTAACATTTGTGAATGTTTTCTTTAGGAATACGAATGTCTTTTCTGAAAGGGCAGTAATTTGTTTTTATAATGTATTATTCTTTTATATTTCTGTTTTGTTTATTTAAATTGATATATATTGAATCCTTATTACAAAGTAGCCCTTGAACATTTTTTAACTTTATGTTTGCAGGCTTGTGATGCTCATATGAATAATAAAGCCATGTGGGAATCTCATGTTAGAGGAAAGAGACACTTAAAGGTAAATCCTGCTTAATAAATGTTCTGATTATTTTTAAATGTCAAATTTTTTTCTTTGGTTTACTATGTGAGGCGTAATATTCTGACATTTGCTACTAGTTGCTCTTTTATGTACTTATTATGTTGTTTTTCTGCTTTTAAAAATAAATTACTTAATGTTAAGGTACTGAATAAGTTACTTTCAAATATAAATGGTTTAGAAGAAATTAAATATTGTAAATTTTAAGTTGAACATTAGAATATGAAATGCTGTCATAGTTAGAAAATGTCATTTTTGTTCAAAATTTTGCATTTGACACTTAAGATTATCGGTTCCTTTAAAAAAAAAAACAGTATTACATTACAATTAAATGTATATATCTTTAATAAGATATTTATTACAACACGTGAATATTTAAACATATGTTTAATTAACCACTTTTTTCTGTTATTGCCGTGAATTTCACAGTTTTTAAAATCATTTTTTTATTGTGATGACTACTTGCAAAGTGTAATAAATGTATGATTAGGAATATGATGTGATACTCTTCCATTATATTTTTTTAATTCTTACTGTGTTGAGAAAAAAATTTATTCAATTAAAAAAAATTTCTTTCTCTCTTTAAGTTTTATAAATGTTATTTTTGTCTATAAAACTGAATATCTTTTATCTCTCTTGTACAGAGAAATAAAAAGTACACTATAAAATTTAAGAAAACACCACATAGAGAAAAAAATTTAAGATAAATTCTTCCAGCAATCACGTGTCTGTTTATAATTTTTTCTGGAAGTTGTGATTTCTCCTTCTATTACATGACTATATTAAGAATAAATTGTTCTTATTATTAGAACTTAACAATATTTCAGTTTTTAATTATTTCTCTTTACTTTTTCAGAATGTCAAGAAAGTGCCTGGAGGTAAAATTCTTTCATAAATGCTTAGTTTGTTGTGATGATTTTTAATATACACTTTTGGCATTGTTCATTTTTTATCACCTAAAACTAATAATATGTATGTATTTTATGCATGTATGTTATGTATGTTACGTATGTAATTTGTTTTATGAAATATTCTAGAAAACACTTCTAAAGTGAAGTCCTATCATTGTCCTGAAGAGACTGCACACCTAATGAGTTTATTAGAATTAGAAGGAGTGGATGAATATAATGAGCCGTACCTAATTGTGGGTAGGTTGTTTAATATTTCAATAAATCCAGCAAGTGTTCTTTATCGTTGCAGGCGATTACTTTAAAGGATGATTTTGTGAGTTTTTTTTAACTTAGGAATAGAAAAAAATTATGTATTACATATAAAGCAGGACTAAAAGATTTTTATTTTGCTTTAATGTCAAAGTTGAATAAGCACCATATCGCATATACATAATGTAAGCTTTATTCAATCTTGTAATAATTACAGCTGATTCACGGTTTATATTCGTGATTAACATATAATGGTGATTAGCGTTCATAACTCACGTATAATAATGCTATAATTATGCTTTATTAAGGGTAAAAGCTCAAAAACATATTTTATTTTTCTTGTAGGTGAAATTTTTTAAAAAAAATATCAAGATGTGCTCCTACATTTTTTTAACCCACCGACGGTTCTGCACGTAGA